GTGTAGCCGGCTATAGGCAATGGTTGAAGGATCAAAGAGCTTTCAACAGAAAACGACAAACATACGTGTAAACCCAATCCAACTAGGAACGCATAAGAAAATGGTGGAAGGAATGGTGGGTTGTAATGATTATCATTTTTTATGGCAAGCAAGGACATCAACTTAGCAAGCATTTGTACCATTTTGGCGTTCATGGAACCACTCCTTATAGTGCTTCACATTATGCACTTTTCGCACACAATACCAACTCAAATATCAATCTCGCTCCTTCAAACATACAAAGGGTCTTGATTTCGCTACTATAGTCTAGTATTCTGGCCAAGAGCTATCTACCTGTTCTTTCCAAGATCGTAAACCTCCCTTGATATCACCAATATATCTGTCGCCTTTGAGGTCCAATCCCATTTCTTTCATCTTTTTTGTGACTACTTGAGAATCGTTACCAAGCCTACAGACAACGTATATAGGAGTTTTCGGGTCCAGACCATCGGTGAGCGTTGATAGTGGGCGATCTTCGTTGATTCTGTTGCCTTGAAATGACGAGAAAGGTACATTGTGGGATCCCTCAATATTACAGATGTCAAACTGCACCTTCTCTCGAACATCAATCAACAAATGGTCTTTTTCTTTCCTCCTTATAGATTCTTGGTAATATTTTGCCTCAACCCTCTCTGCGTCACTCAATAATTTGATAGGATGCGTCATGCCGCAAAATAAGACGTAATCCACTGAACCAGATTTCAGCTGCTCAAGAGATAACTGAGGTTCCTCTCCGCAAGCGAAACAATTCGATCGTCTGCCCTTCAAACGGACATTTCTGAATGGCGATGTTCCATTTGTAGAGAACAATAACATTGTAGTAGGATTCGTCTTGGGGGTAGAACTCGTCTCTATATTTTCCTCAAAGGCAGCCAGCTTCCCCGATGCAATAAGCTTGATAGCTTCTAAAGCTTGTAAAACTCCCATTACACCTACAACGGGTCCGATAATTCCTCCATCGCCACAACTTGTCACAGCTTCGGGCGGAGGCGGTTTGGGAAAGACACAGCGGTAACATGGACCACCTGATATGTTACCAGGAGGTAAGGCAGGACTGTTTAATACTATTAACTGGCCATCTGTTCGAAGAGCGGAGGCGGAGACGAGTGGCTTCTGGAGAAGAACACATATATCTGAGATGAGATAGCGGGATGTGGGATGATCAGTACAGTCGAGAACTAAATCATATTCTTTGACTATATCCTGTGCATTTTGAGGCGTAAGATGTGTTTCGTAGATATTTGTTCTTACATTTGGATTCAAGCTAGAAGTTCGTTAATATTTATAGTCATTAACATTTTGAAAGAGATTCCATACCCAGATATATATTTCGCAATACTGACAGCCTTATTGACACCCACTCGGTCTGTACTATGCAATATTTGACGATGTAAATTCGACTCTTCTACAGTATCTCCATCGACGATTCCAATAGTACCAACTCCAGCACCGGCGATGTATGCAGCAGCCGGACATCCCAAGCCTCCAGCCCCTACTAAGAGAACGGAGGCTGATCTAAGTCGTAGTTGTCCTAAATCATGGTTAGTAATGTATCCAAAAAATAAATGATATCTCCAGAGGTCCATAAACTAACCCTGAATACCGATATCAGGCACAATCATCTGTCTTCCATATCGTTTGTATTCTTCCACACTCATGGGCCATTTACTTTCGTCATGAGTCACGAGACCTTCTTCTTCTGTGACTTCAGGATCTTTTGAGTTGACATCGCTTCCTTCGATACCCAATAATTGTAGTTTTAGGGAAGCAAGTTCAGTCTCGGTATCAGCTATTTGTCGCCTTAAAGCACTCGCCTTTTCCTCAGCAGAATTCATATTGGTTTCCTGTGGTTGTGATTTTTGAATTATGAAAGTCGCTTCATAAAAATAGTTCCGACAACTTTTTTTATTCGCTAATTAAGTTAAGGTTAACCTAGACCTTTGAGCTTTCAATGCACCAGTGAACATTTTTACCTTCAAAGCTCTCACTCACATCTTTCACCAATTTTCAGACAAATCCTCTTGTACCACTTTAATATTTCAACAGATAGCTAATTCGCGATCATGGTACGTCCGGAAGAATATTTATCTTTCCTGTTTAAAGTCGCAAAACTAACTATCCTCACAGGCGCCCACCGCACCCAAAAAACGAAATTCTATGCGCGCAAAAGCTTCTCAAGCAGGCTCAGGTATCCACGTTCCACCTGTGCATCGTGAAGGTGCTGTTATATCCGATTCATTCATCGAGTCCAAGAAGGACAAACGAACAATTAAGCATTCCGCCTTTGTCAACCGCATCGAAAAAGGCAGCTCAAAGCCCCTCAAGCGCAGACGTCCAAACAAGAAATTGGTTACCACGTTAGAAAGTCTCGCAGATGCACTACCAGATTTTGAGGGAGAAGGCTTGGAGAAGATTAGCAGAGGAGAGAGTGGAAAGATCAAGCAAAAGAGTATGAAGAGTCGACCTGGAGCAACGAAGAAGAGGGAGAAGTTGGAGGCTATGGAGAGGGAGAGATTTGGAAAGAATATGGCACAATTGGTTGGAGTTACGGAGGAGAAACCAAAAGACGCCACTGCTGCGGAGGGTCAACAAGTACCCGCTGCTTCAGGAACTGCGAGTAGATGGGCCGCATTGAGAGGATTCATTTCACAAACCATGGAGCAAAAGGAGGAGTTCAAAAAGTCTTGATTCTTTTATTTTTTCCAACGGCCATGGACAAATTTTCTGTTTTGAGATACCCAATTACCACAAGTATGGTACGTGTTATTATTTTACTTTCTATCAATCTACAATCGATGGACCTAAAAGCCTGTTTTTATTTTTCACATGAAGGAATACCCACAGATACATTTGATGCAACTTGGCGGAGTGATATGTATCGTTCGAGTGGATGAGAGGGTTCGGCATATCATGAATCGCGTCTTTGCACATTCCAGCCGGCCGATGATACTACCGATGATACTACCGATGTTACCTAAACATTGGCAAACACACAATCTTCTCCACCACCATCACACACTCTAGATCCTCTGAAATGTCTGACACAGGGAAACAACAGTGCTCTCCCGAATGGTTCCGCACCTCTTTCTATAATATACAATCACGTGAAACAACTGCCCCACCATCTATCTGCCTGACGTCACTCTCTATATAAAAAGCAAACAGCACCTTCAGTGTTTTGACTCCCGTCCATAATTTAAAAGCTCAATTGGGATTCAAAACTTCTCTGAACAATTTAATTCTTCACCATGACCATCTCTCCAGAATCTCTCACCCAAATCCCAGCGTCGTTCGCCAGTGTCTCTGTTGGCACATCTTCAACCCCTCTTTCTTCAAAACTTTCTGCAATTTCTTCTGCAGGCTTCACAGCCATTGAACTTGGCTTTCCCGATCTCCTTTCCTTCGCTTCGACCTTTCACAAAAAAGAAATCAAAGAAAATGACTACGATTCATTATGCTCAGCCGGAACCGAAGTCAAAAAACTATGCGAGAAGAATAATTTGGGAATAATGATGTTGCAGCCATTTTCGAACTTTGAGGGATGGCCCGAGGGATCGAATCAAAGGAAAGATGCTTTTGAACGGGCGAAGGGTTGGATTCGTATCATGGAGGCTGTGGGTACCGATATGTTGCAAGTGGGAAGTTCGGATTCGCCAGATATCTCGTCGGATTTTCATGTTTTGGCGCATGATTTGAGGGAGTTGTGTGATTTGCTCGCGGAACATAGGTTTCGTCTTGCTTATGAGAATTGGTAAGATACCCCTCTTCCTCTCTTCGCTTCTTCAATTCTTTTCCCCCTCCCTCCCCCCCCCTCTATTCCTCCACCCATTCATTATCAACGCATAAATAACACTATTACCTGTAGGTGCTGGGCCACCCATGCCCCCACCTGGTCCACCATCTGGGAAATCGTCAAACTAGTCGACCGCCCCAACATCGGTCTCTGTCTCGACACCTTCCAAACCGCCGGCGGCGAATACGGCGACCCAACCACCTCTTCAGGACTCATCTCGCACCTAGGGACCCAAGCAAAACTCCACATGAATTTCACCCAATCCCTACAATCCCTCACCACCACCGTTCCCCCCGAAAAAATCTACCTCCTCCAAATCTCCGACGCGTATAAACCGCCCGTCCCTATCCCCACCACCCCCGCTGAAAAGGAAAAGGAAGAGCTGAGAGCGAGGGGGAAGTGGAGTCATGATTTTAGACCATATCCATATAACGGGGGCTATTTACCTATAGTAGAAGTAGCAAGAGCGGTGCTCGGAACGGGATTCAGGGGATGGTTCAGCATGGAAGTTTTTGATGGGGGTGCGGACGGCAAATGGGAGGGAGTTGAGAAGATGGATTTAGAAGCGTTTTGTAAGGGGGCTATGGAGGGGCATAAAAAGTTGTTGGGGGAATGTGGAAATCCTCCTGGGACGGTGAAGAAGCTTCTGGGCTGAGAAAGCGAAGTTGACGAGGATGTTAGAAATATCAAAATTGTAAAAACAAAACATCGGTTGCATATGGTGTCGTTATTAGAAAACCGCATGCGTGGAGCACCAGTGGGTGCATGAATTGACGGGACACTTCTCAACTTTCTGAATCTTTCACAAATTCATTCTTCGATTGTTTGATACTAGACTTCACATTTGTATTGTTCCATCTGTATTGAATGATGTAAAAATTCCTAGAATGTACGAATTCATATATCGAGAGATATCCACAAGTCAATTTGTGTAGTGTCCCGTCAGTCCATGCACCCACTGGTGGAGTTACGTTCAAAAATATACTTAGCGTTTCAATGTTGTTTTGGTGCTAGGAAAACAGCACAAATACCAAACCGTCATTCACCACTCAAAATGAAACTTAATATCATGCTCAAATTTCATTGATTCTAGGAACGAGCCTGTGCTCTATCTCTCCTTCAATTGAAAGCCATTCCCAAGCAACCATGAACCCTAGCAAAAGTCTCGCCGCTTCGTACACTTCGTACCATTACATGCCCCCCCCCCCCCCCATGCCACCAAAATCACAATGCAAATCTGAATTCATAGCTAGTGAAGCTCGCAACTCAGCTCCCAAAGCACATTGCATCCCCATTTGCCAGAACGCGAAACTCGTCTCGTGTGATCGTATAGAAAAGAAATAGCATGCAATCATATCTCTTGTGCCTCGTGTTGTAACGCTCGTCTCGTTCATTGTCCCAATGCAGCCCTGTCATAAATCCGTAACGCCTGATGATTTCTTGAAGCTGTATTCATGTATGCGTAGCTCATGAATCGATTCGTGGAGGACTTCGATTACCCTTTTGGTAAGGGGATGAGCTGCGACTTTCGTCTTGTCTGTAATTCTGTTAGGAGGAATTCATTCCGGTCGCTCAAACTGCGTAGTGGGAATGTTGAAGATGGTGAAAACTCACGATCTTCTTCTCTCTCCCTCCTTTCTGTACCCCTCGATAATCTTCAGCATCTCCTTCCTCGCTCCACTCGCATCCACGAGTTTGCCTCCCATGCTCATAGAAACCTTTTCCTTCGCGTTCGCGCACAGCAATCTCTTCAACAACAAATGGCGCATGATGATGCACACGTAAACTCCACAATCACTTCCATTTTGCTGTTGCGGAGTATCCTGCAAATTCAGAAACTTCAACTGGCGACCCAATAACTGACCTAGTTTATAAGTCGTCGTGTTCGCTTCTTCATAATTCGAGGGCGAGAGAGAATCATAGTGGAATGCTACACCATCGATAACGGATACGAGGAGGAGTGTCCAGTGGGATCCACCTTCTGCTTGAGAAACATTGCGATTATCGTTTATGGGAAGGAAGATGTGGGTTGTCAGACGAAAGTCTGGAAGAGCGGACCTGAGTAGGACGGGGTTTTCGTGCATTCGTAGCATATATGCCATGGAAGGGCGAAGTAGGACGATGTGGGAGGAGGGGTATCGCTTGAGGTATTCGTTCTCGAGATATCTATTTGAAAGAAATGTTTAGTAGCGGCTTTTGTAAAGGCAACTATCTGCGAAAGTTAGAATAGGATTGACGTACTCTTGCCAGAAGGCTATTGTCTGTCAAAGAGAGCGTCAGTAATAAATTCGAAGGGAGGGTAATATAGTGAAAGTATACATTATCCGTGAGCCAGTCATCCTTCAACGTATTGATGTCTTCTCTTGTCACTGTTATCGCCATATTTTAGTTTGTGAGTTCGGGGGTGTCGTTTTCAAAATTATTGAGAAAACCTACATCGTACATCATAATCTAGAAAGCGAGTATTAGCAATGTGCCGGAGCAACCCCGCCGCGACGCGAAAGCGACCATGAAAAGGCAAACTCACAACTCAGATATGCAGCTTCAGGAGAAAGCTACCACGATTGTGTTTGTCAGTTCCAAGTTGCGCATTGCTTTATTGCTGCGACTGCCCTTCCGCCGGAGTCACCAATTGACAGGCAAAGTCCGCATGTGCTTGATACATACCGAATTTCCCATATGCTTGGATAATCTGCCACCAAATGGGTGGAAACCACTTCCTTGTGGCATCGCTTCTCTTTTCCTTTCTTGTATGAAAGTTTTCTTCTCTTAGATTTTACTTCAAATGCAGGTGGCCGTGTGGCTGCCCTTTATTGTAGGACGAAAAGACTTTTTGGGCTTCGGAACGCGGGGGGATCGGATTCTTCGAGGATAGATAGGTATGTCGCTGGTCAAATGTTGAAAAGAACAACGGGAAAAAACCAAACAGAGGGGAGAGATGAAGTTGATGATTCCTAATGAACCTTGCGACTTGGTTGTAAGTATCGATTGAGTAAAAATGTTCTGGAATCTGGGCTGCTGCGGTTGTGGGGGGTGTGGGCAATCGTCATCCCTTGTTAGTGTTCCTTTTCCAGATGTACCGACATGGTCATTTCTTCTTGGGTTGGCCGGATGACTATCTAGTACTTGGATAGATGTATGCAAATACGTATAAGTTACATGTTCTAGCACAAGAGTACTACCGAAAGATCACATCAAATTGTCGATATTTCAATCATACTCATTACTATCATAGCAACTTTATAAATCATCTAAAGCTAGTACTTAGGTCTCGAAAGAACTATGTGGTATCCATCAACCTTTCGGTCCCCGCAGCTCAGAGACTACTCCTACTAGGCAAACAAGGTGAAAAGCTACCAAAAGCAAATTAAGCAATGATTCACTAATCCGATGTGCGTCTCCCTCCCTTCAATTCTCTTTGTATGAACTCTTGTCTTTCCTCCCACTTTCCATCAACATCACCTATGGGAGAAGTTTTTATATCCTTTTCGATTTGCTTCACGGCTGTCCCAGCTTCAGAATACATTCGAATCAATTCTGCCTTTTTGTTTTCGATTTGTTGGCGTATATTGAGCTTCTCCACATCTCTCTTGCCACTTAAATCCTCTAGCATACTCGTAGCGTTCCCCTTGTATTGACGAACGACCAGCTCTGATGCATCTTCTTCATTGGTCAATCTAATCACCATCTCCTAAATCTCAAAGTCAGCTATTCTGGTCATGAAATTTGAACTGTACAGTTAGTCAGACTTACATCAGCAATTTTATGAACAGTATCTGCATATCCTTTGTAATGTGGTCTGACAGCCTTTGACCATTGACTAGAAGGTGATAATTCTCGTCTTGGAGTGTCTGAGGAACCGGCCGATCGAAAAGACGAATTACTCGACAATACACTCGGTGAAGATGACTCTCTATCATAGCTTTGCTCTGTAAACTCCACTAGAGTTTTGTCGGGATCGCTGGAACGAACACTCAAGCCTCCATCAGCTTCACGTGCCCGTAATCGTTCTGTAAATCCACTCAATTTGTGATGGGCGACATCAACGAACGGATCCGGCAGAACTTTTACCTCTTGTATGTTCTCCATGGTTGAAATGTCTTTATAAGATCCGCTCTGAGTCTTTGTATGCGGGACGTATCGAACAGAAGACTCTCCTGGTGGAGCAGGGCGAGCTTTCGGTATGCTTACTACCTTGATAGGCGGACCAAAAAGCTCTGGAGCATCCTTGGCATCAAATCCAGGAGATAGAACTTTGATTTCAGGTAAATCCTGGTGCGAGTCCATAGTCTGTGACCCTGCCTTGCCAAACTCTGGTGCTGCTTCTCTTCGCTCGACTCTGAGAGCATGACTAATGGAAGGTACAATGTGTTGTGCTTGTGGGCTACCGAATGCATCCACTCGAGATCCTTGTGAGCTTGATTTGAGAGCTGTGGGAATTCTAGGACTACTTTTATCATCTGCTAGGATCGGTGTATCTGTTGGTAAAGCTACGTTCGGCGGGCTAACACTTTGACGCTTCCTGGGTGGACTTTGAGAAACAAACAAACTTTCTTGGTCTGAGTCATGATGATCATCATGTCTTCGTTTACTCTTTAACATGTCTTGCGACTTGACTCTCGCAGTATTTGATGTTTTGGTGTCTAGCTTAAGATCTCGTTTTGTAACAGGCATGGACGTACCAGAAGAACCCTGATTTTGTGCACCTTTAGCGTTAAAGTGTATAAACTTTGGTTTGCGAATACTTCGATCATCAAGTAGAGCTCTACTTTCGCTAGCTAAGCTTTCGGGAAATGCATTTCCTTGTGCGCGAGGACCAGATGGTGAGATTGAAGGGCTTCCTGAGTTATTTGTCGCAATCTGTCTACGGCGTTTAGGCGGTAGAGCAATCTCTGTTGCAACCTTACGCTTTTTTTCCTCGACCAAATTTACATCTTGTAGTTGTAGAGTTTGCAGGCCTTCTAATTGATGGTCAGTGGAAGCTGACGCCTTTGTAGCAACTGGTCCGTGAATCGCTTCCTGCTTTGAGTTAATCGAAAATCTGCTCAAGGAGTGGCTTGGAATTGCAAGTACTGGATCGGTTATATCTGCGGTGAGTACATACTCGTCCATCTTCGTAATGATCTTCTCGTCTGCTCTGGTAGGAAGCTTAGTGTCTGTCAGTTTTTTGAGATCATATGTCTTTTTGATCATTTGACTTTTCTTGGCTTTCGTCTCGCATGGAATGGCGAGTGCCACTTCTTTAACACGTTGAGCTGGCTGGCTTGAGTTACCATCCTCTAACTGTAGTTTTTCTAAATCTGTATCTCGGTCTTTGTGACTATTATGATATTCAGCATCCTCGACCACGGTTTCTGGCAAGTCTTTGTTTATGACACCCAAGCAACTTTCTGATGTGCTATACTGAAGTTTTCCCGACTTTTCCGGTGGTGTACTGGGAGATAAGTTTGTCTTGAAGAGACTCTTGTTCAGATTTTTGATGTGAGTGGTCTTTTTATCGCCCTTAGTATCATCGCTCAAAAGATCATCCAATTGGCTGGCGAAATTCACGGCTGCCGTCTTTCGAGAAGGCTTTGTGGGGGTTTCTTGAGGATAACCTTGTTGATCCTTTGGTCTCGGCGGACTAGCAGAGTACAAATCATCCACTGCGAATGGGTCTCCAGAAGAGAGACTGTAATCAACTAGACTTAGTACCTGAGCATCTTGCTGCTGGAGAACAAAGGCCTCCTTATCTTCCTCTGCAGCCGACTCTAGTACTGAAGCAAAATTGATCTCCGATAAAGCTGGCTCAGCTGGCTGCTCCGCCGTCTTACGCTTTCGCGAGACATTGGGCTGCGCTGGTCCACTGTCTCTCCCATCAGAAAAGTCATCTTCAATCTCCTCCAAATCGTCATTGATTTTGCTCATGCTAAGTTTGGCTTGACTAGCAGCCGCTCTTTGGCTAATCCTCTTCACGACTATAGGTTCCGCGACTGCCGTTTGGGTGGGCTTAGCTTTTTGGTAGGTCTTTGTATTCTTTCCCTTGCCTTTTACAACGGATTTGCCCTTTTGTTTCGAACTAGCAGGCTTTTTTCTTGTCCCCTGGTTAGTTTGACTGTCCGTCTTGGATTCTCTTCCGTCGTCGTTGATCTCAGGCAAATCATAAATATGTGTCTGGACTAGCGCAGATCCCTCATCGGATTTGTTCTTGTTTGAAGTCGCTATTACTGGCTCTGGCACACTTGGCAGAGGAGTTTTCACTTTAACGCTCTTCAGGCCCACGATTGGTGTCTTGGGTTTAACAGCATACTTCTTTGACAGTTTATTAACTTTCAAATTGGCATTCTGGTTTGGTGGTGCTTGAGAAGTACTTGGTTGTGCTTCTGGTACGAGTGCTTCCCTTCCGTTTTTTTGACTTGCAGAAACTTTACCTTTAGTCTTGACAGCATGGTTGACATTGGTTGCAATTATTGGTAGAGGTTGAGAGATTTGGGGGCGAGATTTGTCTGTCTGCCTCAAAAGAAGTGCCTGGCCACTTATTTCAAAACTCTTGTCGTCTGTTCCTAAAGTTTCGTTGAATGATGGAATATTCTTTCGATGGGTATGCATCGTAGGCGAATCGCTGAAGCTCAAAACATCACCGTGCTGAGGTAAATCGACTTTGTTCGCTGCACATTCTCTGCTCGACTTTTGTTGGGACTGTTCCAATTTATCATTCACGTTCAAAGATATGGTTTTATCTTCTTGATGTCGAGAACTTCCGGCTTGAAACTGACGATCGAGGTTAAACAGGGAATCTAGCGCTTCGTCCTCGGATTCCGTTATTGGATCACTTGTTGCTGGTTGATGCTCGTCTTCCGAGGGCCGCTCGTAACTTTCTGCAGCTGGCGAACTTCCCTTTCCTTGAACTAGTATATCATCTTCAGCTTGAGAAACTTGAACCCTCTCCGGTTGGAACTCTGCTTCGGGACATTCATCGTGAAGATCGATCATTAGTTCGTTTCTATTTGAATCTGTGGTCAAACGTAGTTGTTGAAGAGTGGTAGGTCGGGAATTTAGATAAGAAGAATGCTCTTGCTTATTCTTGATGTCAAAAACAATATCGTAAACTTCTCTTCCGTTGATTATAATAGAGCTATCGATGACAGAAACTCGGGAGATAGACTTGCATGGTACTTGCAGTATCTGATCCAATTCTTCTTCCGTAGAGCTTTTCAGTAGAAGGATATAGCCGTCTTCTAGAACCAGTTCTATACTCTCACCCAATGTTCCCAATCGAAATGGTGGTATTGTCACAACTCCAAGACTATAGTAAAGCATATGCGGTGGTCTGGAAAGTCATCAGCGGACAGAAAATTGTCAATATTTGATGTACCTACGTTTGGCTTTCATTATCGGGCCACTTCCGGTCTACCCACTGCTGGAATTGCGATTTCCACTCATTCAAATTCTGCAACTCAACTGGAAAATCCTCGTATTCCCTTTTGTCAGTTTTCACAGGGCAGAGTTCTTCGGGCAGAACATCAGCGTTTAGTAGTAACGCAAAAACCCGTCCACAAATCAATCTGAGGATTTCATTATCTTCATTGATAATCATGGGACCAATGCTGCGTCTTTCCAGCAACTTATCAGCTAATTTTGGATGGTAATATGAGGGGTTTCTCACCTGACGTCCTCGGGTGTATGTTGAAATTGCTCAGAAACTGCCTCTGGGCCTCTCAGAAGCTGTTGCATGATGATACCAACCTTATATATGTGTTAGTATATTCCTAAAATATTTCAGCCTATGGTAGCTCACCCATCTTCTCATTCCGTCTGGCCTCGAACGATCGACAAAGTACTCAATAAGGCGAGCGACGTTCACTTGCTTTGAAATCTCGACCAAAATACCGTGGGAGCTCTCAGTTTCCTGAGGTGTTGATTGCGTGTGAAGTTCCTTCTGCAAAAGCTCAGTCAGTCTCCAGATAATTGCAACCTTTGTGGTGCGGGTACCTACGGCAAGCAGAACGAGAACACGCTCACTTTCTCGACACTCCTCGCTTCTGAGTGCAATTTCAAGAATGACACAGAAAGCTTTCACATCGAAAGGACAACACAACTCGCCGCGATCATTCTCTAACATTGAAAGAAGACCCCTCACGGCTGTCTCAGTTATGGCTTTCGTTGCCTTCGTCGTGTGCAGGGTAGCATGGATTGATTCTAGAGTGTCTTCAGCGATTCTGATAGTTGTTAGTATGTTATAGATGTATCGATACTGCCAACCTATCTCACCCTTCCGTGCCTTTTGCCTTGATAGTTCTGTCGAGTTCCTGACACAACTTCTCAACGCCCTTTTCAAGTGCCGAGTCTTGCAAGGTCTCGTTCAGTCCGCGGCTTGGAGGCATCTGGGAAACGATTAGCATTAGTATTGACTGGCGGGCACTCTTTCTCGAGTTCGAGTACCTTCACAACTGTGAGTAAAGCGTAAATAACGTAAATAACGTAAGTAAAAGGTTACCCGGAATATCGCCCCCACTCCGTTGATAAGCTACGGAATTCATTCGTATATTCTTGGAAAGTGGCCGGCGGTCGCAACCTGAAAGGGGAGTAACATGGACAGTTGGAGAAATACAAACCTTTGTGGGTCCCGACTATGCCAAATTCGCAGGCATGTAAAGATAGTTGTCAACAAAGAAGCCACGGCAGATTCTCAAGACGTCATGGAATATCTTGTAGGTACCCGAGAAGTTCACTTTCAAGAAAGAGTCAGTATACTGAACCAGGGAGTTTGTAGATATGAAACTTGTGATCTGATTGTTGAAAGAAGCAAAGAAGCAAAGAAGCTTTCTAATTAAGGCAGCATCGAGGGGACTTTCGCTTCGAACAGTGAAGTGAATTTGGAGGAATTAAGGGCGCCCTTCTCAAAGGAAGGTTATGAGGAGGGTATCTGAAGAACTCACCTCTAGAGTTGAAGGGAATTGAAAAGAAAGCCGATTGAATCGCAGTCTTAGTATTGATAGAAGGAACAAGGGAAAGAGATAGGTAAACAGAGGGCATGAATTGTGCAAGAGATTTCCCTGATGCTCTGTCGGTCTTTCGGTGAATGATTGCAGAAATTGGATAAGTTAGAGAAGGAAAGTCCTTGGAGCGAATCAATGATGGAGAATCCCGCGCCGCTAAGCTTCCCATCAGAATTTCAAAATGAGGAAGGAACTCAGAGCCTTAGCACGTCGTCTCATCACGTGTATGTAATCCGGATTTTGGTACCAGATTACTTTCGTTCATGTTTAGGCATGCGGAACAATAATAAGTATATGGCTTGACTGATTTATATAGAGCAGGCGCCAACAACTAATAAGCCGGGTTGATTATGCGTGATCCAGTGCATACCTAGTTAGACAAGATGCCTTTCAATCACTCATGGAACATTATGAGAATTTCCGGGCATTCTGGACTGAGATATTGTTATGTCGGATGGTCTTTGACATTGCTTGACCCAATTTCACACACTACACCGTGGAAGGTTCGCCGACACCAGACACGATGGCATAGTGATTAAAGCAATGCTAAACATTGAAGATCGAGATTACTGTCATGTCATTCTAGTACTGGATGATACTTTGAAGTTTGTGATCATCAAGAACAAAATACTACCTACTTGAAAAATGAAAGGAGACGACGGTGCTTGGTAGGGCCCAGGTCATGCATAGGCATGGCTTCTAATTTCTCATCATTGAGCCAGATGATTCTTGGTAAAGATCTAACGATTCACAATCACCATCTCTATCAAATCCGTGAAATAACGGTATGTAATTTGTTAAAGTAAATCACAAATGCGTGACTTGACGATATATTCTCTGATCTTTCCAGTGGCTTCACTTGATCCTCTGAACACCTTAGTTGACCTGTAATTTGAACTAGCATTCTATCTTAATCTCCCAATTGGTCTTTTTAATTGTGTAGATCCTATGAAATCTTTCACAATCTCGCCGTCCACAAATAGAATCGTGTTATTTAGCTTCGTTGTCATTACTCTATGCGTTTCCATACAATCAGCACATCTCTTTAGAGAAATTAGCGATGGGGTAATAGCAGACAAACATTTGGGAGTCTTCCAACACAGCGCAGGTGCAAAAAGACTTTTCTCCAGGAGAATGCTCTCGCCGATGTCGAGGTTTGATGTAGCATACATTACTCAATATACCGAAACACTTGGACTGAAGTTCAAATTCGATGTCTCAAGCTTGAATCTTGGATATGTTGCAACCATTCTGATATTCTTACAGTTCTAAGCACAACCAGTGACTAAAAGGAAATCACCGTTCAAGAGGGCTTCTTTATTCACAATCCTCTCGTCCTTGACTGCAGCCCGGCCGTTGGATAAATCGGCGCCACTTTTGAGGCCATGTATCGCCTGATCATGATGGCTGGATAGCAGATCAACCTGTCCAACATACGTTCACGCAAAGGCCTTCTACTCCAATACCGCTCTCGTCCACCATCGCGAATAACGAAATTAAACAGCTATTCGTAAATAGATTTGAGGCTCATCGTGAACACCATCGTTTCCATTTTCACATACAGATAGAACAGATCTTCTTGCAATGTACTGCAAGCTTAGGGTGATACATTGGATTCCTGGTTGACCGCTGGTCCATCAATGCGCAGCGAGCGATAAAGTAAGTGATGTTTGAGGGAAATGAATGTGTTGCTCGCTTAGTCAGCGGACTGACTTGGTGAAACTTTTGTCCACAGCCCTACTCAAAAACAACACCAAAGACCTGGAATTAACATCTGCCGTTCTGGGCACGCAGTCTTTGTAGGATTGATCGATCAACGATGCACGTATTCGATCACTAGATACCTCAAGGCCATGCTGCGTTTAATCGCGGTACCACTTCCTGTCTGCTCGATTCGATCCTCAAACGGTTCTACAATGCATTGAAATGAGTCGATGGCTATAGATTCAACCCCTTTTTCTCACCGACCTCACCGACTTCATCAAACCATCCAGCGTCGCCAAAGTACATCTCCATACATCTTATACCTCGTGTGCCCCTCTCCGACATGATTAATATACACTGGTGGGGTGAAGTGGGGTGATGAACACAGTCGTGGTATCCTACCAGCGATCAGCACATATCTATATAAAGGCATAAGGCATAAGATTTGTTGGATCATTTGCATAGGTAACTCAGTATTGATGCGCTGTTGTTGTGAACTTTAAACTGCGGATTGTTACTGTGTACTCTGGAGCAATCATTGCTGAGATGTTTTGAGATTGCTACTGACCTACATCAACAGCTCAAGTGAGCATTCTTGACAGAGTGTGAAGCATATCACACTAGACCATCCATCAAGGAACTACGTGGCTTGACTGTGCCACTTCCTCCTTGAGCAATGTAGGATATCCATTCTAAGGATCGATAGCATGAGCTATTTTTGCGCTCTTTCTGCTATAGGTGCACACACACACACACACACACACACACACACATCTAAACTACCCCTGAGTGATGCAACACTACTTGAGTCTTGAGGATATACCTTCGTTCAGTCAGTCGTTTACGCCAATAGTTTCTGAGAGCTTCCATGATCTCACCAAGTCCTTCTTGTTCTTAATCTTCTTCGAAACTGGTTGGCTATCCAGGTACCACCACTTTGTGACCAGGGTAGCTACAAGCTAGTGTGGGGTCTATCCATCGTATTCCATCATTCTGACTTAGAATTCTGTAATGCATATCACTCGTAGCCACCAAATCCGCCGCAGTGGTGACATTTCGAAACCCCTACCCCACAGCAAGTGGGTCATAGCGGGTCATGCCACATATGGTGAAGCTTCTGATCCAATGTTTGTGGAAAACGTGTGAGCCAAGGAGGTGCCAAGCCATTGAAATGCCACTGCGCATATCAGCGGGGGTTTCCATAAATGCGTCGATGGGTGGCTGATGATGGTTTTGCATTGCCGCAAACATGCACGGAGGGGAGGGGTAGACCCTGAGGCGTTACCATAGTTGAAGACCGGACTAGGTAGGTACAGAAGACACCTATATTAACCCCTCTCACCCTCCCTTCTTCCACAGTTTCATTCTTCATCTCTCATCTCTCATCTCTCAACTCACAACCACCTTCCAAGCAAACTCCACAACCCAAATTAAACAAAACAAAACAAAAACTCCCCTATATATCAAAATGTCTTTCCATCTCTCCGCCGAAGATATCCGCATCGAAGACAACCACATCCTCAAAGCCCGTCTCAGAAACGAGAACGGTGACTGGGAAGATGCTGAGATTGATCTCAACCAACACATCGGAAACCAAGATGGCATGATTCACTGGGATGGCGTTAGTACGTATAACCTCTGAAGAAAATCATCTTTGAAGGAAATCGTCGATGTCTAATACTTCATATAGACTTCTCCCACAGCGCCGAGAACGTCACATTCTCCATTGAGGGTGGTGGACAAGTACCAGTTCTCCGCACTTTCCTTCGCAGCATGGACGGCGAAGAGTTCAGCCGTGATGTCAACCTTGCTGAGCGTATTGAGAACCACAACGGACAATTCGTTTATAGTATGTATCCTCTAGTCATTGGAGCTCACGAAAAGCTCTTGCTAACATGTAATTAGTGAATTAAATATTTATGATCATTTTAAATGTTATATGCTTTAGCTAGTGCAGTCTAAAGAATGAGAATATCCTTTCAAGCGTTACAAATATTCGATTTGGTGCATTGCAACATTGCCTGCATGATTGAAAGTCCTTTCCTATGTCTTCGTGTATCGATGAATCTTGGCTCGTTCTATGTGATTCTACGCTTCTCGATTACTCCATGTTACATCTTATGTTACCAAGTTTTATCTGCTTCTACTACTGGTCATTCATCCGGGAGAGTGGTTGATGCCTTGACAACACATTCTTCTTTCCTCACACATTGCAAGTGCTTCACAGTATCAAATGGACCTGTCATTAAAATATTCGCGGCCATGGCCTTTTACACATGAACGATGGCGCGATAAATACGTTACCTTGCTTAGACAGTTTCTACATCATGTATTTTGCTGTCGTTGACATTAGCTTGGTATTTTTATTAACCCTGCTCGAACAAATTCACGCCAATTACGTTTAGTCCTCACCAGTACTTTTCCACCTCCCCGAGAATAACCGATTTACACAACCACAATACATCAAACCTTTATCACTTACGCAACGAAACCTTGGATAATATCTTTTAAGCGCCTCTCCTGCGAACCAAACAGTCGTGCAAAAGACGGATAATACGGCACATTTTTCAGCCTGTATTGGTATGCATGTAATGCCAAGACGCATGGCATACCTTGGGTTGCATGCCATGATATTATGTAATTATCTTACTCTTGGTGTTCGAATTGAACCAAAGTTGGGCAAATGGTAAGGGTTGAGAGGGTAAAGCGGCTATATTCAGGAATTGAATGAGTGGTGTGCGGGATGCTGATGCTTGGGGTGTGCAGCACGTATTTTCGGCCCAGCCCCGATACAAGAGTTGTCAGTCACTTGATGGTTGAGTACTGCATTGGTGACACATGAGTTTTTGCTTTCATAGATTTGGCTCTCTACCAAAAATTTCAACACGAGACTTTTCGCATGTCGTTGACTATGCCAAGGATTTCCGAGCCTAGTAGTTCTTGGGGTTCTCGGATGAGCATCGAGAGGGATAGCTTTCTTATTTTCCTTCTCAGATCCTATCGTTGAAATTTTCACACTGAATGTGTCTCAAACACGCTGGATGCTACTCGTAAGAGTCGAAGAGCCATTCTCGCCATTCTAATTCCCTTGGCACCTGTGTAAACGAGCCACATCTTTGTATATCTTCCTTCAGCATATTTCCAAGAAAGAGCGGAGATGGAAATATACCAATGATCCGCGGATAGAAGGTTCTGCAAGACTACTTCTATCCGGAAACTCTCCACATCTATATCCCTCTTACGTTCTCCCTCTAGTTCCGACAGGGCAATGCATAAACAGAAAGATGATAATACTCAAATGAATTAGATAAAGCTCTATATATTTGGGATTAGGTGTTCAGATGAAGTCGGTGTATCTATCAAATGAGCAATTTGAAAATTCAATTCAACATTGAATGGCTTGCTTGATTTGTCGGAACGCTAATTAATGTTAACATAGCCGTATCTGTGAATTAACTTCATGCCAGGTTGTGTTTAAGCAGTGTACGATACTACATTGACCAGCCTCGGTTTATTGTGTCTTGATACAAATAACCGGAGGTTGCTTCATGGAATGAATTTGTAGCCTGTGATGAGAGAGTGTAGTAATGGAGTCTACGCCGTCTAAATTGTCATGGCTAAAGATGAATTTGTTACAGATTTATCATTTTTCCTATGCAGTCCACAGGGATACTGCGTTAACTTTGCATCATATCAAATTCGATGAAGTTGGATTAAAAGACTTACCGGATATCTTTCACCCCGCAAAACATGAAGCTGAAAGATGATGTCGTCCGCTAGGTCTATCTGTTACCACAATCACCTACATTCTATACAGCCTTAAGCTAAGATTTCTGGTCCAGTATGCAAGACGTTTTGGATAAGTACTCCCCATGAAACTCATATCCACCTCTTCAAAACTCTCATCCAGATCGCAATGCGAGCTTAGCTTGACTTCCAGACAAGCTGCCTCCCACACAGCATCGATATCATTACTCTCGAGGATCGTCATTAAACATATTAGTTAATGTGTTACCACATTCGACCAATCGAGGGGTTGTTGGAAACGACTCAACATCCCAATTGAGGAGCCTTTGAATGAAGAGCTTTCCATCCAAGCCTTCTTCCATCACTTTTTCCTTTCCAGCATCATCTTCTAAGTTCACATTCACATCACCCGTCCCGAGTCCGGAATACAGATGCCATTCAGCGTGGCAACTTCAAATCTATCCTTAGGTACAGCTGATCGCCTGGAAATCACAACATAAAGAAAAAGGCAGTATCTACTCCATAAGCCTCACAATGATAATTTAAAACAATTTTCAAATTGTCCAACAAAAAGATACATCAAATCGCGGAAAAGGACTTTATATCACTTGCAGTTCAACCCATTTATCAGATATAACAATCACATAGACCTAAAACACCAACTCTATCCTTGATACTCTTGTACTTGTGTACCTAAATCCCTAACGTCTAGATCGATTCCACGAGTATATTCGTGCTAGACTGTTTACTTGGAGGAAAAGCGCATTGATCTCTGGCTTTCGCAGGTATCGCGTTCACGATACCTCAATCCAAGAATCCGGTTCTGAGAGACACGGCAGTTGACGAGTGTTGAACGATATAAGAAGTAAGACGCATCCAAGCAGCCTCTGCAATCTCCGGTGGAAATGTCTGGTTTGGTACTCCACTCAATCTATGGATTCGCGAATTTCTATCCTTCTATCCAATCATCATGAATTAAATGATATCCCATCTCCGTGTTCTTTATTAGCACCGAGAATACGGATTTCGTCGATTGGATTCATGTTCCTTGTATAGTATTGTGCCATGACGGCTGTGAATATGCATGTATATCGGTTTCTAAAACTAAGATTGAGAAGATAGGGATTTCAGTACTATTGGGATGGAAGATTACGGGGGTTCGTTTAGCAAGAAAAAGTGCATTCTTTTGAAGAAAAATATGTGGCTTTGAAATAAGGGGGGGGGGGGGGATATAAAAGGTAAGGCAACTTAGAAGGCCTTTGATGGGATCGGTCTAGTGAGATAAATTAGTCGTTTTTCGAGCTTTATTTAGTCTTTTGCAATATACATAGTGGTGCATAGAAGGATTCTATGAGAGATAAAAGAAAAGCTATCGTACACTAAAATTCGATTGAAAGTGTCGTGCAGACATAGATGTCCACACTCACCCCAACTTTCAGTAAATGAACAACACCCAACGCCCAATTTTCCATCACTACAAACCCCAGATGCATCCTCAACCTCTCAAACAATCCACTCTAATAGCATCCCAATAATCCACTATTAATCGACCCTCCCTCCCCTCTTTTCTTTTCCTTTTTCTTTTCCAGGCCATTGAGCCCCAAAAATCCACCCATCCATTCCCCCATCCTCAGCAACAAGACCACAAACCAAACACGCATAAGGAGACCTCCCATCCATCACTCATTACTCAAAACCGAACGATTCAAAGATGAAGATCTCACCATCGGACACGCACTATTGAATTCGAGAAATCCAATTTTACAGGTACAGGATCGCGAAAGAAGAATCGAGAAATTGTATTAATACTACATGAGTGCTATCAGATCAAGGGATATGATATGATATCATGTGAAGATATTTGTGAGAGTGTGAGGAGTTAGATTGGGTATATCTAGCTTTGATATTTGCACAGGAAGGCCTCGTGGTTTCCTTCTGAATCCTGAATCGAGTCTACTTGTATGACTATGTCGGGGGTAGGCAACCTAGATGTAGAAAATAAACATCAGAGGACTACTAAAACAAATAACAACTTGAACACTGCGTCCAGAGCAACGAACACACAATCCCACTGTAACAAGTACACCACTAATCCATCTCATGTCTATGCATATAGCTATACAATCTAGCCTCATAATTGTACACATAATACAACACAATACATATTTAAACCTTTATTCACTCAGGCCCCACAAATAAACAACTAAATCCTCATCCTCAGCGCGCCCCTCTCCAACTCACCAACCATTCCATTTCCAGCCAGAGCCCATTTCTCCGTCACAGTTTTCTCATCCACTCTCTGTCTCAAAACTCCACTCTGCGCCCAATATTCCATCAAACTTCTCGCTTCTCGCTTACTCAATCCATTTAACCACATGACCTGTACCTTTTGCAATGCTTTATCGGCTCTCTCATCGTATTGCTTCTCATAAGGATCACGTTCTGTGATTTCTTCTTCTAATTGTCGATTGAGTTGTTGCACGATCGCTAGATCTGTAGATCTCGATACAGGTGCGTGACTACGTGATGTAGCTGCAATTACTGCACCTCCATTTGGTAGGGATTTCTCTCCAGAGAGATATTGCACGAAATGGTTTACAACAGCCAAATCATGGGCATGAATCAATTCAAATGCAGCGTTTCGGTAAAGACTGTTTTGCATGATCCATTGAAGACCGTCTAATGTCATGAGAACTGGAGGTCGGTCTGCAGCCGTAATTTCTTTCCAGAATGCTTGGAATATTGGCCATGAGTGATCTGGTTCCTGAGCTCCAAGTTCGCAAAGTCTGAGGAGGGATAAATTTTCTTGGAGAGGAATTGGGAGATCATGCGTTTGTGACAATTGGAGTTTGTCAAGAACTGCTTCGTTGGCTTTGCCGATACGTCCCAGCCATGTCGCGGTATATGTGTTTTGTGAAAAGAGAGTAGGCGTGGTATCGGGCACAGGAGAATATTCAGTGCAAGCGTTGACAAGTTCTTGGGCTATAAATCTTATTAGCATAATGCAAACCATAAAAAATAAATAACATACTATCCGCAATATTCAAGACAATCCAGCCCTTGACAAAAGCCGAAGCCATAGCCTGTAAAAGCATCAAACTCTTCCCTGATACCCTCCCTCCATCAACCACCAATCGCTCCGTTTTTTTCTCTGCTCCCGCCTCTTCCAAAACCTTCGCACAAATAACACTTTCCTCCCGGACCAAAACCGCTGGCCTCCTAAATAAATTCCATCCCTGCGTAATCTTGAACGCTTCACTTGCTCTTAAGCTATCCACCGTGCTGCCACTCAACCCCACTACCTTCCCTGCCAATCCCTCACTCGAAACATTGCTCATTCCCAAATCTTCTAGTTCTACTTCCAACGCATTTGTATTACTGAGAACGATTCTCTTCCTCAACGCCTTCCTCTCTCCTTCCGCAGGAGGTTTTCCAGTCCGTACAGGTGGCGGCTTCTTCTTGATCTTCAACGTCTTTCCACCCCTCGCCATATTTTGTCCAAACGCTCCCTTTGGTTTAGCAGCCAGCGGATTCTTGGACATAACCGCACTTGTTGAAAATCCCGCCGTGGCTGCAATTGTGGGAAGTCGCGATGCCGCATGATTGCCCTGGATTAATTGCGAAGTATTCGGCCTCGAGAGGCATTTCCAACATCCCGAGGATGCCATATCTGCGAATGCTGCAGTGAGTTTCAAAGGGTCCAATTCCTCTCGACGTGTCGTGCCTCTCTCTCACTCCAGAAATCTTTCTCGACTAGGATCAAACACATCCCGCGCTAAATTGCGGCCGCACAAGGATCCTCCCGCAAAAGCAGCAGTCCAAAATTTATTTTATTTCCTCTATCTCAATCTGAATCTGAATTTCTTCTCCTCTATGAAAAATATATACCCAATCTTCACCCATTCAATTGATTTATCAACCTCACATCCAACATGTCCGAAGAAGCCCCCAAGAAACTATCCAAACTCCCCATCACAGTCAACAAACCCACTCCCTACACATTCGATCTCGGTCTCCTCCTCGCCGAAGACCCTAATCCGCTTCTCCTCACCACCTCCGCAAATCTCGAAGATGATCTAGCTGCAACTGCCAGAGACGGTGCGCAAGCATTACTGAACCAATTACTGAGCATCTGTCCCATTGCATCGACGCCCAGTGGTGTATTATTGAGTTTACCTGGGATTGCTACAAAGTTGCCTCGTGAAAAGGTAATTATGCGATTTCAATTTTTTCTTCCTTTTGCATTCTCGCGAATTTGGAGATTCCAATTTGGAGTCTCAATTAATACTCAATACATACTAACACATTTCCAGCCTCTTCCCCCCCCAGTCGCTCAAACCACCTGGCAAAAATTCGCAGCTAAGAAGGGTATTAAACCCAAGACTGCCGAGGCCAAGAAGAAGCTTGTGTATGATGAATCTACCGGCGAATGGGTTCCCAAATGGGGATATAAGGGAATCAACAAGAAGGGAGAAGACGATTGGATTGTGGAAGTTAATGAGAACAAGGAGCGCGAGAGAAAGGAGGGAACTGAAAGACAAAATGATGGAAGACGGGAAAGAAAAGAAAAGGTTAGGAGGAATGAGAGAATGCAAAGGAAGAACGAGAGGAACGATAGAAAGAATCACGGAGGAAAGAGAGACTAAATTGTTGGGATTTGACTGTCAGCCCATATGCGACGAGGGGAAGTACAAAGAAAGGTGGATGATTTCATGGTGGGTGGACTTCATTGTATGGCGTTGGGATGGATTATCATTGGCGTTATTAGGGCAATCATTGCTTGTGGAAAGGAAAAAGTGTTTCGCCTTACGTCGGAAGACATTAGATTACAAGAACACCTCATTGAGACATTCCAGAGTTATAATAACATATAACAATGGTATTGAACAGTTCAAATTCATTCGAGAAGACATAAATGGCAAGACCCTCAATAAATAGCAAACGAAGAATACAAATGCAGAATTAGTTCCTCATCCCTCCTTCATCCACCGCCGGCCAACTACCGGTCTAAGAACACTCTTGAGTGTTGAACATGAGTTCTATCAGTTAACATCACATCAAAATAAGAAGTCTGAAAGTCAAAATGGTACATGGCATTAATTTCAAATCCATGCCCATGATCTCTGATGCTCTTCACACTGTCACCCAATGCGCTCGTTGACCCTAGCTAGGTAATCTATGGTCTCTGGACTCCTTTGCTCCAAACATAACATATACCCCTATCGTACAAACAAGTCCTGCTTTCCTCTCCCTCATCCTCATCTCCCATGTGCCTGATAGCGAGCCGGTCTCGAGGACCTGAAGCAATTCGTGCCTCCTGATTCATCTCTAAACTTCCTGACAATTCATTCCAGCCTCCAGCCTCCATCCATCCATCCATCCATCTCCATCACGCCCCACGCTTATAATCCCTCAAAAAATCAAAGTAACAATCCACTCCATATACCACCAATCCATGTCCAAATCCCATACCCCATCCATCCATCCATTATTAAACCCGCCTTCTGTGCTAATATGCTTTGTGCCGTCAAGATTCAAACATGCTGCGCTGGGGGTATTCAACAAAACAAGCACGCATGAAATTTTTGTAAAAAAAAACATTCCATTGAATTGAAATGGGAAAGAAGGAAATACTTGTGTTGCATGAACGAACAAAACGAACGTCAAGAAACGTGTGTAGAGTAGATCTCATCGGTATTTTGTGCGTGATACTGAAGGAAATTCGTCGAATGCGTTCAGTCCTATTCATTTACCAAAGTTCGTAAGCAATTAAAAAAATCGACCGAGGAAAATGTAATTTTGTCGCTTGATGTTTAGTTCGTACGAGTTTGTGAGAACCTGTATCGCCCTAATATGTAGAGGTAGAATTATGATGATATGCGACCTTTTGGTGTGACTTTTCAAAAGCCCGCCTGTTAAATTCTTTAGTTTCGTGATTTTGAGTAAAAGAAACTCAAAAGCCAATAGGAGAGAGTGGTTTGATGGGACTCAATGGTCTCATATCCCCATTTCGAGGCGGCGTCGCCTGTATAACAGTCAAAGTTGTACTAACAGTATCAATGCTGTTCATGCTATTGCTCTGACTCATGGCACCCTCCCTGTGATTCTCCACTTGAACCTGTCTTTGACTTCTCTCGCTATCCGGGCTTCTGCGTTGATTTTTTTCGCCGCTGGCTTTTCGTCCCTTCTCATGGCTGTGTTTTCGGCCCTGATTCTCGAGGCTGACACTCGATGGTTTGCTGCTGTCAGAACTGCTAACGTTCCTTTCATCATGGCTCTCAACAGCAGTGCTACTTCGTCCACCAGCACTTCCGGGTGGCATCTGATCGAAAAGCATATACTCTTGTTCAATATATACTGCTTCAGTCTTACAGCCCTTCCAACAATCTCTCCAGTCACAAACAAGAAATTTGAAACAGAATGCATCCATCTTCATACAAGGTTGAAAGCAGATACATAAATTCCTAAAGTCCATCTTGTTTTTTTCGGAGTGGGCGAGCAGTAGAGATAGATGGCAAGTGATGGCGAAGAGGAGGTAGTAATTGAAGGGAGAAAGGTTAGATAATTCCTCGACAAGTTGTGGTGGGACCTCATCAGAGCCCGCACATTCTCTAGCAATTCGATCTTGTGCAGCTCTGGGAAGTAGTTCGTCGGGGAGTTCGCGAAGCCATGCTTTAAGCATTGAGCCAATGATATTTATATCGTAGAGGTCATCACATTCGAAAAGATCGATATCAAGCTCTAGCGGTGTGTTAGTATATTCTCAAGAATCATCAAAGAAAGAATCTTCAAACCTTCGTCGAATCTCCTCTGCCACCTTTTCACCTGGGGTCCGCTTCCAGGTACTCTGTAAAGTCCCTCCACATCACTTCCCTTGTAGTTCAAATAGTCAATCGCTCTCCAAGGAAAAGATGGCATCCAAAACTCTGTTTTGTCCCTTGAATCCTCCAATCTCTTTGATATCCTAGTAAGTCGAGTTTGCTCGACAAGTGGCTTATTGATGACCTTTAAAACATAATGCTCATCATCGACCGAGGGTTCCTTATGTGAAGAGCTACCACTCCGTCCTCCCTTTCCGAATAGATTCTTGTGTATTGCCCCAGCTCCCTTTGTTGCTTGTGATTTGATGTTGTTGAAGAATGCATGTCCGCCGGCCTCTTTAAATGTTGTCGAGAAGGACGACTGATTTCTGCTATTATCCTTCGTGTGGTCCTTTGTATTTTCTCTCATGGAATCCTTTCCACGATTTTCTCTCGAGCGGCTATGTTGACGGTCTCCCGATCGTTGTCGATTGTTAGTCGGAGTCGACATCTCCCTACAATTTCTATCGTCGTCGCTTCGAGCCGGTGTCGTAGTCTTCACAGAACTTGAAGAGCTTGTGTGTGTGTATTGACGGGTAGATAAATCAGGATCCAAATAATTATTTTTTGGCGGAGAGGGCTCAGCGGGGGTATTCTCATCTCGTAACGATCTAGTTCTACCGAGGAGACTGAATTGCTTCGGTTTATTCTTTCGATTATTGATTGAATTAGAATCGGAATTTTGTTGTGGGGAGTCGTTCGTTGATGATGCCAGCGAGGCGTCAGATCTTGACTGAACCCCGAGCGGTTTTCTAACTAACGAAGATCCAGTAGGACCTGATTCTATTTTGAAAAGAATTAGTTTATGTGAATCACTTAGCATGGATTAATTACCCAACAACATTATTGTCTGAAGAGGAAGGGACGAAACAGAATGGGTCGTACCACTTCTTTTAGTGTCCTGTGATGAAACCTTTCCGCTCATCGCAGGGCGGTCTGTGTCTCTGGACATATTATTGTCCTCGACAACATTCACTTGGCGTGATATATTTGATGAAGAAGACAATTGAAGTTTACTTGCACTTTTGGATGCTTTATAATTTGAAAAGAATCCGGTTCGCGAAGGTTTTCCCTTGATACCGACGACCTTATCTGGAGTCCGGGGAGAGGAGGAAGATTGAAATGAAGAAAGAGAAGGGAGAGTTTGTGATGTTGGTATTCCACCTCCACCTCCAGTTCCACTTCCACTGCCAATGGTAATTGATGAATCTTTTTCGGATGTCTGCGGATAGACTTCTTGCATGGAAGGAGTTTCGTCTCTTTGATTTTGTCCCTGTTCTTGGGGTTGAGGGTGGAGTTGTTTTTGTTGTTGTTGTTGTTGTTGTTGTTGTTGTTGTTGTTGTTGTTGTTGTTGTTGTTGTTGTTGTTGTTGTTGTTGTTGTTGTTGTTCTTGTTCTGGTTGCTGCAGTTCAGGTCGAAGTTCTTGTTCTTGTTCTTGAGCTTGACTTCGAGGCTGCTGTAGTGATTGTGATTTCTTTGTATTAAATTTGAAGGGAGACCTCGGCGATCTTGGGGATTTGGCACTCAAAGGAGATCTTGGACTTTGTTGAATGTTAATAAATTCCGTACCATTGACATTAACTCTTCCTCCTGTACCGGGTTCCAGCGTCAGCGGCTGTAGGCCATTTTTTCTTGCCATTTTCCCCCTGTTATCCGCCGATGACCTCTTGTCAGGGCCTAATAAACCCAGGGTTCTGATAGATTATCTCGTGTGCACCCTATACACTGCACAGCCTTCAGGTACCCGTCAATATCTTGATCACAAATCCTAAACAAATATATAAATATACTTCGTGCTTGGTACACTTTCCGTTCTATCGCGCGGGTGGTTCGTGCGGATGAAAATGGCACAAAGTGCTCTTCCGGGTCTGCTCAGTGCTTCGCAATAACTCTTTTCGGAAGCAGGTAGATTAATAGGTGAAGATAGATCCTAGAATTGTCCGTCTTTCCGCACTCGTTTCGCAGCAGACTCGTATGAATGAAGGTTTAAAACCCCCTTGTAATTCGGTCGTAGGACAATGAGAATGCGTGCTTGCTTGATTGATCTATAATCCTTGTTCTGATCCACTGTCAAGAGACATTGATATTCGAAAAGCGGTAGGGAAAGAAGGTATCCTCAGTCCTGGGATGGAGATGGAGAAGAAGAGATCATTGGAGGTTCTGGGAAGAAGCGCGGAGTGATGAAACAGCCATGAAAGTTGTCGCGTACGAGGATTTCAAGGTTTGGTCTATGGAATGTAGGGACTGCGAGACTATAAGACTATAAGACTGTCTATCTACAAACTTTGGCTTTTTCTCTCAGGCTAAACTATTCCGTCTTCTTCTAAAGCTTCTACGACGCAAAAGGTTGGATGATTTTAGACGCGGGATCAGACAAACACCCACTTGTCCTTGGATCGTAACTAGTTTTACGATTAGATAGCTCAATGCGGTTATGGATTTACCTGATAATGAACACGGGGGGTAGGGATGGGGATGGGAGCAAGATATTACCTGCAATAAGGTTATTAAACGATATGAGTGAAAGACTTTTATGATAGTTGCTCGCTCATACTTGCAATACTGTCGGACCTACGCAGCCGGTGGATTGTGTTCGTAAGGATATCAGTCGAGAAGTCGTAATGCTTTCAAGATTATCTACTGGTGTCCCTCAGCAAACAGTCGAGTACTCCTTACCTCTGTCTAGTATCTATACATGAGATCAAATCTAATCAAGTGGAATCCTGCATCCAATGCCTGCCATACATTGCAATCACGATCAAAGGGGTTCTCACGAGTCACAACCCTCATTCTTGCTTACAGTCATACCTCGCATATCAAATCAATCATCCTTCTAGGAACTAGCTGCACGGCCACGATGTAAGGCGCAAGTACCATCATGAATTCATAGATTCATTACACAGATTTCTGTTCAGAGACCTCAGATCCCTCAGAGATCAGAGCGAAGCCGCCACAGTGATAGGATTTCCATCTGAGGCTATGTCTAGTGCCTGTGAGCATTTTTGCGTTGACTCGTTTCCTTCCATAGTCAGAGTGCCGATACACTGAACAATAATCAAGCTACCTGCATATCTCAGAGTAGCACCGTATGACTCGGAGCCATCATCCATTGAAGCTAACACGAGTGCAGGATAATCGTGAATTTAGAATCCTTTCTCTCGCCGCCGCATTCTCTTCTAATCTAAAGTGGGTTCATGAATGAATAAACGTTTAGCTCATCTATGCCTATGTCCATGCCGGTACTTTCACCAAGCCAGGAACGACCATGGAGAACGGGGAAAAAGAAAGATCAACTCTTTCTTTCTAATGCTCGGCATCAATTCCTTTTGTCGTTATATTGCATTTCAAAGCGCGATTATGCATCGTATTCGACGGAAATCCCCATCTTCTTGATCCTTGCCGACACCGTAGTGGGTGTCACAAGATTAGATTGTCTCGATTGGACAATTCATATGCATGAAAAAAGAAAACGGCAGATTCCAAAGCAGGTTCCATCTCCTTAGCCAGGAACCACGAACACCTAGGTAGGTATCTTTCACCGTCTGTAATTTGTCTATCTACCGAATTATAAAACATGTATCAAAGGGGTCGTCATTTCTGCCGTTGATTATTGTAAGATTACAAGAATAGCTGCGCGTACACCAGCAGACAAGTATTGGATTGTTTTGACGGTGTACGGATTACGGATTATGGATTATGTACAGATTGCCACTCATACAATGCGGAGAGTCATCTTGCTTCCCGAGCACCGAGTACCTTATTCTTCTGCAGCTCTGCAGATAACGACCATACATGCATTGGGTTGGTCATGGTGAGTATTTAGTTGGTGATAGCCCACGCGCGCGGTACCCAAGTACTTCTTTCTATGTACCATGGTAACGGATCGTGTGAATTAAATCGTGGCTATGCAACAAATTTAGGAGACTGGGTATCATCACGTGACGATCTTTACCGTTCTATTCTTATCTTCAATTGTTCTCCCGCCGTTGGATGTACGGAGTACTCCATATGTAGCTAATAAGTAGTAAGTACCTAGTAGAAACAAGCATTTTCATCTGATATCAAACAGTAGTCCCCCCCTAGAAAATCTTCATTCATTACATCCAATGCATCCACGTGTTGTTAGTACAGAACAACGACTCAGTCTCAATTTTGTATGGAAAGAGTTTTCGTTTTGCCAATGTTTGCAATGTATTTTTTGCGCTTGTCACCTTTCATTTGTGTGCTTGTATTTGGTAATCTCAGTCTCGGTTATGCTCTTTTATGAACATCTAGGAGTGTCCTAGTATAATCGCAACATATAAACATTGCATTTATCTTGAATCTACTGTTCACTCGAGTGGGTGAGGAGACCAGAGCTTCTGTATTTGCATAGCATTACATTTTCCCTAATTATCCCCTTCATTTACCCTAAGATTTGAAAATTCAAGGAGGGATCTGGAACATGGCGATGGATAACGATAAAGACAAACTGCTGATGTGTGTGTGGCATTCGATTGAGTGCTTGACCCGCATTATTTTGGAGAATGCGATGTTGTACTCCATAAGGTTCTGGCCAGATGAACTCCAGCTGGAGTTTGTGATTGAAGCTCCCCACCAGATATCTGCACCAGGAATGATCCACGGTATGTGCACAGCTCCTTATTTTACACTCTGGGAATAACTCTCTCGATATCAATTTCGTTTGTCCTTGGACCAGATCTAGGCTCTGAATCTATATTTACATATACCTGTTCATTACTCTTCATTATTATTCTTCCCCCAACTCGAGTCTTCTTTAGGAAGCCTAATATCTTTCAATGGGTGTATATGACAAAGTAATGAAGCATGAATGCCCGAGATGAGTAAGATATTGAAGTGTTATTTTATCTTATTTAGATTCCTCGGAATCGATAATTCTTCGCTCCCTATTGTTAATGAGGTAGTGGAGGGTCGATACCCAATTTTACGAAACTGCCCTAGAACATTCAAGAATGTTGAAAATTTTGAAAGCAACTCCACATGGCAAAAAGAAGACTATGATATAAGTGCAAAGAGAGTTCATCCTTCTAGGCTGGTGGGGGTTGGTGAAGGACGGGGTAGGTAGGAGAAATTCTTTCTGCATTTGCATAATATGCTCTTCAAGTTCTATCGCAATGGTTGGGACATGTGGTTTGATCAATGAATCTTCCTGTGAAGGTCGATGTCGAATTTGTCCTTCTGATGATCCCCTGGTATAAAGTTCTATCATTGTAATACATTGTAAGGTTTCGTTATCTGCTCTGTCATATCGGTGACACATGGTCACTAGCAACACTGCCGTCTATGTTTTTATGTGACTCTCCGCAGAGTCGATGACCAAGTCTCTACTAACAGGAGTTCTTGTAGATTGGTGATATCGTAGATTTTAGGACATCCTGCAAAGACAAAAAAGAGAACGAGAGTGAAAAATTGCATTACGGTCGATAATCGCGCTTTGATTTACATAACTGCAGGCACTTTCTTGTTTACACAAGAATACTTGACAACATAACAGAATTACCTCCACATCCAAAAATCATTTCGTCGCACTCCTAGCCACTCCAAATTTTCTTCCCCAAGCTCTAGCCTTCCGATCCATATCCGCCCTGACAAATACCATTACGATGCCCATCAAACCAGCTAACATCCAACTCAAAATAACTCTTCCAAATCCACCCCTCACACTACCTCCAAGCACGCCTCCCTTAACCAACCACGTAAGCATATCCGTCGTAATGAGCTCCTCTCCTCCCTCTAACCCTTTAATACTCCTCTCTGCAATAACATGTGGTGTCCGACCCTCATCACCCTCCTCAAGCTGCAAAGTAAGACCATGCTTAGTGAGATTTTCCGTCTCGTAAGATTCCGTCAAAATAGTAGCCGGAAAAATAGTGTGTACCCTCACCCGCGGCGCATCTGGAAAAGCCGCAGCATACAAATTCATCTCCTGCGAAAGCGAGTCCGAAAGAGAGCGCAGCGCCGCTTTGGACGGACTATACGGTGCATACCCCGCAAAACTATACAGTGCCACAAACGACGCTGTGAAAATGAGATGGCGCGCAGGCGGTGGAGTATCACTTTTAGAACTCGATACATCATGGTCACGCGTTGAAGCATCCTCCAACGGCTTAAGCCAACTCCTCAACGTCGCATGCGCCATATATGCACTCGTCATATAATTACTCGCCATCTGTTTCTCTATCTGCTCGACCGGCGCATCCACAAATAGCGCCGGATACGCGCTCCCCGCACAACACCATACTGTATCGGGGGGCCCTCGATTCCAGGCTACCACCTCGTCGATAACACGTGCGCATTCGCTTGCGGAACAGAGATCTGCGCTTATGTGGTGGAAACGCTGGGTGGAGGGATTGAGGGCCCCGAGTCGGATGTAGGATATGGCTTCTTGTAGTTTTTGAGAGTCCCGCGCGACGATGATGATGTGTGCGCCTTTCTGGGAGAGTTGGTGGCTTACTTCGCGGCCCATGCCGCGGGATCCACCGGTGATGAGGATGGTCTTTGAGGGGGGTTAGTTTTGGGGGCGGGGAAGGAAGGGAGGGATGCGGTATTGCGTACCTTGTCGTGCACTGGGAATGCGTTTTTGGAAGATAGAGTGCCCATGTTTTTTACTGTACGTGGGAGTGTGTAATCAAAAGCCGTGTTGAAATTGTTAATGATAAATTAATGAGTATTCAAGATCAAATCGTCCACGTAAAAAGTACTCGAGATACCTAGTTATAAATATCCTCACACCCCATTCATCAATTCCCTCTCAGCAAACCTTACCAAAACAAAATAATATAAAAAATCATCAAAATCCACAACGACAAAATATAAATACATTGGCTCATTCACTCGCACTCACTCCTAGCTATGTTATATATCATTTACTTTCTTCGCATCGTATTTCTGAACCTATAGAGTAGATTAACAGGATATATAAAATCTTACATCCATACCTGACATTACGGAGTACCGACCCAGGTACTCGTACGGTATACCGCATGCTTTTCCCCACCATTTCGAGCTATGTAGGTAGGTAGGTAGGACGACCCCGCGTTTGTTGGGGGTTATTAGGTAGAACTAGTTGATTGTGTATATATATATATATATAACTAATAGATACTCAAATTTTTCACAGATGAAAATTTAAATTCTCATTCGAGGCAGTACTACAACGCGCGAATCTATTTATCTCGTATTTTAATAATCTAATAACTCAATAACCCAATAACGTAGTCTTTCTTATTTTCTAGCTCAAATAGAGTATTGTTCTCAGCTATAATTACTATTTCCAATTAGAGTGATTTGTTTTATGTTTTATCTTTTTGTAATAACTTATGTGATATGTGATATGTGATATGTATACAAAACTTTTGTCGAAATATTCATTACAAAATACAAATACTAGCCTCAGTCTATATCTTAATAGTAGAGGAACTAAATTTACTCAGGAAATTTTCTCTACCAGAAAAGAAGAAAGGATTGATTCGGCAGGAGGAAGATATTACGTATAACTTGGGATACTTACATTACTTGTTAGTTTGTGTACTGCTGGAGAAGAAACACGTTTATTCATTTACATTTTCATTATCTCGGACTGATGAAGATTCCTTTGGCGATGTGGATGTTGAAAGTTCATCATTCATTCATTCGTTTGTATTTGTTGATGGTAGGTATATACCCCCTTTCGTTCTCAATGTCAAGTAGTCACTCTCAAATCCACCCTCACATTCGCCCAGCTGTCTTCACAATCGAGCTATCCACCTCCTCATAGAAAGCGTTTTCTCCACGTACAGGCGCCCAGCCTAGGTGTGTCCTCGCTATATCGCCTTGAGCCCTCGCTCTGTCAGTAAGTATATCAGTGAATATATATATCAGTGATCTTGCAAACTATCATAGAAAGGATCCTAAAGGCATTCTATTCAAAATTCTAGCAGAGCTCAAGCAAGAAAAATTGCATATCTCACTTCGAAGCCAAAACGTCTGTGCTTCTCTCAAATCCGCATCAAACAATCCACTAGCTACTTTTTGCAATGTCAAATTGTGTACTTGTCGTGCATTCAGTAGGGAACATCTGTATCTCATTTACGAGGGGGAAGGGAGTTCTTTTGGCATTAGAGTGGAAAGATTGTCTTCCGTGTTCTGCAAAATAGTATCCTGTCTGGAATTTCTCGGTTAGTGAGGAGGCCAAATTATAATTTCCCACTAGGTAGGATGGGATGGTACATGGAGTTGACGAGTAAGTAGAATGGATAGAATGGATGTCAAGAATCACTGATATGGATGCGAGACTAGATTTTAAAGCTGGAACTGATAGGGACGACTTAGTGATGGGTGATTGCTTGTGAAGAAATTATGATGGTCATTTGGTGGGTAGTATGGGAGGGGAAGGAACGGGTGGGACCGACTGCAATGCACTTAATTCGAGAAGGAAGTGGGGTTGGTGATAGGAGAAGCGAGGCTTAGAATGGATGAAGTTATAATATATGATCTTCAATGCTGGTTGGTGACAAATGGAATAGAATACGACGTCGGGCTTGATGTCATATAGCCATGGTCCCGAGATAAAAAATGTAGAATTTATAGGGACTCTTCAGGCACCATGCCCTGAAGCAGATGTGCAACAAAACTTTTGAGATTTCTGCCAGGGCGGTGGGGTTGATTGATCTGATAATGAGGGTGAGAATCTGATAACTGATAAGTGAGGGGATTGGAACCGTGTAAGTTTTTATTCCTTCCCTGCCAAAGCCAACTACAGAATGTTTACTTCTCTGGCAGGACTATTTCGCTCCGAGAAATCTCTGAAAACTGAATGATACCATCGGAATATCTGAATAAGCCATGCCATCGGTCTGATCTCCCGACACAGGCCAATCGCCTAGCATTGATGTTCCTGGAACTTGTATTATTGTTCACATCAATGAGGTGCACTCTCAACGAGTCAATGGAAACAGAAGGTCATCATCCGTACAAGAATATAATGACATCTCGTCCAGTTTAAAATTGACGCATGTTAATTCCCCAAAAACGTGATACAACAGTCATGACGAGCGTATGCTGCCGCGACCACAATTATATGATGTCGCGAGTAATCAGAACCCCTCTCTTCCCCTTTAAGAGATACTTACTCAGGAATCATGTGCCTATTACCAATGCTACCGAGTTTCTCCATTTGTTCAGATCTGCGAACTAACGCCGTCATCTCGTATTTATTGTTGTTCAATACATGATTTCTGAAGGAATTCGTCCAAAACGAACTCCCCACTATAATTTTGTCATTCCCAACATCCAAGAGCGCGTATGTTAAACGCTAGACGAAAAATAGGTGTAACCTGTAACGCGTATGATCAAAACTCGAATTATCTTGGTCATAATTTGAATTGTGAAACTTTGTGAAGTATGAGACACAAGTGGAAATATCTGAGCTGAAAAGAGAGCACCTACGTAGGATGACTGTGTGTTTGTGGAAAAAGCAAGTGCGCGTAGTAGGAGAATCAATATTGAGGGGTAACGCAATGATGCTGGCTGGCTGGTGCCGCTCTTGTGAGTCTTACTTATTGAAGCAGCTTTATGAATAACCATATCGCATTGTGTCCGTCTCACTGTGGACCAATCTGCTTCCTGATATACACTCTACACAAAACTTATTCTCGAGATCAGCTAATCTCATTCGTTTAAGCAATCAAGATGTGTTTAGTGAAAGTATTCGGTTAGGGATAACCTTACACGAGCAGTATAAGAAAGTATTTGTACCGAATCTCGATATTCGATTGACCCCTGATGAATTAAGCTTCAATTAAGAAAAACATAAAGGCTAACTAATCCTTTTAGTTTGAAACTTAATCGTTAAGAGTCCACTGTAATTCCATAATTCTCTAATTTGTCGAAACGTTCCTGCAGAGCTTACCTGACTTGACCACTTTTTCTACTTAACACGGGAAAGTTGTGGGGAGAAGAAGAAACCGAACGGAAACCACACATTTTCCGATGAGAAGGTAATTAATTAGGTGGGCAGATATACTAGGTAGGTATGACATGTATCCAGGAAATAGAAGGAGTTCGTAGGAGGTAGAATGGAGAGAGTATATATCTGTATACCTGGGTAGCTAGGTGTATAGAAAATACATAAGCGATGCCATTGCTGCATAACCTTACAATTATACTCACAATATAACTGTAAGTAAATTCTAAAGATGTCAGTTACTCATTCCAGTGAATACTAGGTAAATAGTAAGCAATATCTCGTATTGTTATACTTCCATCTGCCCCCGCAAACAGCCTGCATCTAGCTTATGATTACTGTACGGTAGATCTCCACCACTCAATTATTAACCTTGCCCTCCCTTTCCCTTCCCTTCCCTTTCCATCTTTTCTACCAATACAAAGTACCCTTTTGCAGCAAACAACCAACTCCTTCCACTCGGAAATCCTTCAGATTGCTATCCTCATACCATCTGTCTCTTACATTCATTCATCAACAATCTTTCGTTAACAATATTTCTTGTGTAAATCGTTTACTACTTCAGTATATTGACAATCCAAATCGAAACAGTCCCAGCCCTTGGCATATTCTTCCAATATTAGCCACTCCCGAAATTACTTGGATGGAGAGAAGAAAATAAGTCGTAACACAAGTGCCCTGGACTATGATCATACCATCACGATTGATCAAATGTAACAGCGTCGAATCCATCGTCTATTCTACCATCCATCCATCCATCCATCCATCAAGCAACAAAACTGGAAAGCAACATTCCAACCTCATAATAAACTCTCCTCAAAAACATCTCCTATCCGCATTCCACGGGAGATATCCGCACGTCATATATACTATACCAGACAATTATAGAAACCCGCGAGCGACAAGAAACTGGCGGAGCAGAGGGAAGATAATAGCAGATTATTGTCGCAATCGCGAAGACTATCGTCTGCCAACATCCCACACGATGTATCGATCCATCCTCTTATTTGCGACGGCAATTTTACCCGCTATTGTTGGAGCTCAGCAATTAGCAGATGGTTCCATCGTTCCATTCTCGTCCGACCTTCCATCGTGCGCCTCGCAATGTGGACCTCTTTCCGATGTTCAAGGGGCTTGCACTCCTCCAGTTACGGCCGCGGTCTCTAGCTCTTGTTTTTGCGCAGATTCTAGATTGACGCCTTTTCTTACTGGAACCTCTGGGGTATCTTCTGTGTGTGGTGCTGCAAGTTGTACGTCGGATAAGGATTTACAAAGTATTGAGACTTGGTACCAACAATATTGTAATACGCAATCAGCATCGACTACTACTTCGAGTAGTGGAAGTTCTGCTACTTTGTCGAGTTCATCGGGGTCAAGTTCGGGTAGCAAGAATCAGTCTTGGTATGAAAATTCCACATGTATACGGTTATATAGGTAGCTAACTCCCTTCAAGGTTCTCTAGTCACGCAAAATGGGTTGCAATGCTTATTGTACTTGTTGTTGGAATAACACTTGCCTGGCTTATTGCCTTCTATTTCCGAAGACGCTATCTTAGAAAGAGGGAAAAGGAAATCGAAATGAGACCACCAGTCGCTTTGGGACCACATCAACTTCAAAATACAACAGATGGATACCGATATGGAGAGGGCGCCATTAATGCGGCTGAAGGAGGACATCACAAGGAAGCCACTAGGTCAACCGTGACATCTACTCCAGCAGAGGCAACGAGAGGCAAACGGGAAAGTAAGAGTCTTCAGAAGAAGCAAAGAACTTAACTTATTGGATCTTTAACATATGATGGAATTCATGACTGGGGCGTTCAACTCGGCGATAGGGCATGGTGTTTGGGGAAAAGTTAAAAGACATATGGTCTTTGTTGAATATATTTAATGGATGGAGCTTTGTTAATACCACAGGTGGATGGCAATAGCGTCACATAATGGAATGTCTTATTCAGTCTGAATGAGTACATTATTGAGGAGATATCAAATAGTTGATACTGTTAATATTATGAAGTTTCCATATTCATCTGTTGTCTAGTGCAAGGGAACTGGTGGTCGTTGAGGAAACTAGTGGTCATTTTTTACATTTGGTTTAGGGGTGAAAAATTGGACAACAGTTCCAATCTAATTTGCTTGTGCACAGTGTCCAATAGTCTAGACTGACAGACTATTAAATTTAAATTTTAGGAATCTGATAGCCTGTGGCTGTGGGCAGTTTTCCACATGATTAGAAAGCTACCTAGTGAGTGAATCATTCTATTATGGACTTTTCTTCACTTCAAAGTAGAAAAGCCAAAAGTCCTTTTTCAACTACCAACGCAAAAATAGCTGTACAATGTCTATCCAGGCAACAATTCCCAAAGAAGTCATTCTCAGCTCTTGCATGCTGTTCACTTGTTATATTCTCAACTGTTTAGTTCATGAAACATTCTTGTTCTGCATTGGACTTCAGTCACTCTTCTTCTGCTGTGGGCTGGGAGTCTATCTGTTGGCTGTCAATAACAAATATTCCTTCAAGTTAAGCTGGGTTGGTCAGAGAGGGAGAAGCATGGTTTAGGAGGGTCGAGGTTGAGGCTCACTTGAAAGCATACACTATCTAGATATCCCAGATTTCTCAGGTTCTCCAATTCACTTTTAGGGACATCACACTTATCACCCCCTGACTCGAAGTTGATCCAAGCATGGACAGTGATGTATTCACTTCGGATCCACAATATCATCTTCTCCTCTTTTTCTGCCTAGAATCTTGAGCTGGAGCCTCGACCATTCTTCGACTATTCTTGTTATTACTTTGGGAAAGACCTTTGACCTCTTCTTCCTCTTCTAGTTTATCTTTCTTTTACAATCAACAACTTAGATACCTTTCTCTACTGTCTTGCAATACTCGTTATTCCAAGCCATATCACATACTTCTTCTCCCTATTACAACTCTCGACTTTAGATACCTCTACAATCTTGCAGATAATTATTTATTTAAACTACCACCTTGCTTTCTACAAATTACTTGCAATATTCAACCATTCACTTGCCTCAAATCCCACAGACTTCCTCAAGTACACTACTTCATCTTCTTGATTTGCTATTACAAATTCACTTCACATATTTTGTCTTCTGCGCCGCCAGTTTTCCCAATTTGATTTTCAGATTGCAGCACTTCACACTTTGTCTTTACAACAAAATTCCGACATCTTTATCCTCAATCAAAGCGCTCGAGCTGCCCCCAGCAAACGCCATATTCTATTCGAAGTAGTACTACTCATGGTCTACTAAACCCATTAATAACACGGAATCATGGACATACCTTTGGCTTCCCGGAATGGCGGCGAGTCCTCTAGGCTCGGTCATATTGGTCAACAATCTTCTTATGGCGCCCCTCCATCATTTGGCTTCACCTCACACTCACAACGCATCGCAAAGAATGCCAAATATCAACAAGCAAATGCAGAATATGCAGAATCTCCGGAATTCCCAGACCTCGTCACAAAGTTGCAAATTCGTATTGCCGTTCTCGAGAACGACCTCGCTCATGCTACAAAAGACAAGGATGAAGCTATCAAGAGCTCCGTCATCATCGCGAGAGCATTGGGTAATGTCACCAGTAACTCGGAGTCAATTACGGGGAACTTACGAAATCCTGATGCCGAAGAGTTGGAAGAGTTGAGAGTTGTAGTGCCAAGATTGAGAAGGGAAAATGCTATTCTTTGGGAACGCATTGAGTCTCGACAGACTGATCACATGGCTGTTAGTGGAAATCTCATTAATGCTGACTTCAAAGGCAAGAGTCCCGACCTATTTTCTATGGATGAAATCAACTACCATGTCCCATCCAGGCCACGCACAACCCATCCCGTCATCGATGCGGCCATAAAGAAAATCAGCACTCGGGAAGAATCCAGGTACTCTTATCATCCAGTCGACTTCAGCGAAGCAACTCATCTTCCCAACACAGTCAATCTTGAGCGAGGTGAAGACGGTAGTTTATCGGTTCCACCCAACTTTCCCATTCTCCCCACCACCCAAAAGAGAAAAACCATTCACGACTACAACACTTCCACGCTCGATGACGTTCTTGCCTCCGATGTTGAAGATGAAGAACCGGTAATCAAGATCGAAGATCAACTTCTCTTTCAACAACAGGCACACGCAAGTTTAATCAATGTTCCTGCTCCTGCTGTCCTCAAAGCCGGTTTCGAATTATCTCCAGCAAAGGCTGTGAGGGGCCATGATTATGCTAATCAAAGTCAGGCTAATCGCAATGTCTACTACGATAAGTTTAACACTCGCAATTCTAATGCATCAAGTCGTTCCCGATCTTTCGAACTCCCCGGTTTGAAGGCAGGAACCACTATCTGGACAACACCTCAGCAGAGAGATAGTGAGATCATGACTCACCTGGGCGATTGTGATTCCAAGAATCGTAGCATTCCGGACTATTTCAGATACGGAATCCTTTATGTTCCTGCGTTAGAAGATCGTGATATTTTCAGGGGTGTCCATATTGGAGGTATTCCGGAAGGGATGGACCTGAGAGATGTTCTTGCGAGGGTTAGAGGTGGTAGGATCTATTCGGCTATTTTGTTGAACACAATGAAATTGACGGGTAGTAAGTCAGCGTTGATTACATTTGTCAATCAGGAGGACGCCAAGGCTTATGTTGAGTATGCGAATGCTCATCCTATTACGCTCGGGGCAACAGATTTGGGTAGTGAGAATGTGGCCAAGGCGATTGTCACACATATTCATACTCCCACCTACCCTTTCTCTCCAGCAAGACTTAGGACGATCTTCGAGTTCAGTCGTACTCGCATCCTTACGATCCCCAATTTTCCTCCAACCATTTCCCTTCGAACCCTCGTGTATGATTTGAAAAACAGAAATGAGTTCAGAGCTAATAGCTTGCTCGAATGGTATATCAATGAAGAAGGAACTCTTCGAATGGAATTTTCCAGTATGGATGAAGCTGGGAGTGCTTTTGGTCTTTTGACTAGGTCGGGTGCTTACAGAGATTTTGGACTGATTTTGCAATTCGAGAGAGATAACTGCGAAGGAGACTTGCAGGAATTGGAAAAGGGACCTGAAAAGAGAAGACCCATGTTTCCTTCGATAGAACTGGGAGTCAAGACCGACAGAAGTGGAACTCGAGCTGAGGGAATGGTCGATAGCTCGAAAGTGGATGCAGTCGTTGATTCGGGTTTAGTGGTGCAGAGAAGAAGATTGGCGGCGTTGCAGAGACAACATGATGTTATTCCCAGTTTGAGAGGTTCGGCTTTGAAAGCAGGTTCATGGGCTGATGAGGTTGAGGAGGAATTGGGAGAGAGTACATCCGTTCAAGATTTTGGTCGTCAAGATGAAGACACCGGTACTGTCAGGCATCAGCCGCATCGAGCACATTCCAGTACTGCATCTACATCAACCCTCATCGGAGCATCATCTGATGCCCCCCAAAAAGATGAAGATCCCTCTTTCGTTACACCAAAACGTGCGCCCCGCATTATTAGTGGAAAACAATGGCTTCTTGAAGTGGCTGCTGCTGAAGCTTCTTCTCAGAATCCATCTACATCATCAGCTACACCAAGTTTTGATGCACCAGCTCCCATGCCAGACACACCTACCTCCAACAACTCCACACCTCGACCCCGTCTTATAATCTCAACCACGTCTCTTCCTCAAACCACCACCACCATAAAATCTCCCTCTCCAAGCTCTGCAGAATACAGCATTCATTCTTTCGCTTCCTCCGCCGTTTCCGTCGCCGATGATGCCAATAATTCACCCCCACTCACCCACCCCAGAAAACAAACTCAAGCCCCCCTCGGACACAAGCCTAGACCCTCAGTTCATCTCATCGGTCCCCGCATCTCCACCTTCCAACCTGCTCAACCCGGAGAATCTCGCCCCATTCTCCCGATCGAACCAATTGCATCAACACAAGCACCACCAAATGCAAATGTCCAAGCCTTTCAAACCTTCAAGTCTACAATCGAAAATGCAGATACGAAGGTTTATTTCGATCTCGATCCGGAAGCTGATACCGATAAGGCAATTCTGGAGAGTGAAGTTGAAAGTGATCATGAAGCACGCGGAAGTTTGGATATAGGAGAGGCTTCGAGTGTTGACAAGGGAAAGGGAAAGGAAAACGCAGTGAAGATTAATCCGGATGAAATTGATCTTGAAGGAGAATCTGACGGAGAGGAAGATGAGAATGAGGGACTTTTTCAAAAGGAATTAGTTCTTGATGGTAAAGCTCTGAACTAAAGTCGCGATGGAGATGGAGATGGGGATGCAAGCGCACGCAGATGTCTCTACTCATCCAACTAACATCGATGGGACAATCACGAGTTTCACTTACGGGTTTTACTTTCAGTTGCGCTTCTTTTGCTTCTGGATCGAACAATAATATTGGGAATGGAGTTACTGATGAGAGTTTTAATGCTAGTGCTACTATTATTAAGGGTTTGCATAGCGTGATGGAGGGTGTTTGTTTTTTCCGCAATAAGATAATTCTTTACCTAAATATTTGCTGGATGGGCAGGGTGCATAGGCTGCGATTAGATAATTCTGCACTGAAAGCGGGGATAACTTTTAGTCTCTGAATTTTCCTTATTTCATTGTCTTTCTTTTGCACTTTGATTTGCTGGGGGAGTTTCGCGTATGCGGATTTACGAATTCATTTACCGATCGATCTATTTATTTATTTACTTATTTCGAATAGACAAATAGATAGGTGGAATACGAATCATTCAACCATCTCCATCTCCATCTCGAATTTCCAAGCAGCAGATAGTTAGATAGAAAGCGCAGAATATAAATCAAATCAATTGAAAACAAAATGAAAAGTAAAGCCAAGTAAACATTCTCAACTCTTTCGCGATAGAAGTGAAATGGAGTGCGGGATTTATGTATGCATAAATAGAAACATCATTAGCGAGATGAACTTCCCAAGCGAGCGAACGAGATATTCTGAGTAGGTGTCTATGTCTATATCTATGTATCCGAATCAATCTAAAAGTTGATACTATAGTCAGTCGAAGAAAAGATAGCTTGGTATATAATGTAAATTTGCGTGATAGTGATAGAGAGCAAAAGATGGTGGGTGGATATTCGGGAGTGCGAGCTGGAAGATTAATGGATTTGGAATGTGTGGGTTTAATGATGCGATTATGAGGGAGTTTGTCTGTGAAGTCTGGGATGTAATATGTAATATGTGGGTTTGATGCGATTATGAAGGAGTTTGTCTATAAAGTCTGAGATTTAATATGTAATATATAACGTGATTTATCAGTGTGCGGGTCATATCAGTGTGCGGGTCATTTTCACCTCAATTCACTCTTTCAAACTCATATTATTCAACAACCATTGAATCAATTGATTAAAACTATGAAATTATAATAATCTAGGATCTATTATTTTATCTTGATAAATTCTTGCATTATATTCGGTCTTTCTGTATTTATTATAGTATCAACTAGAAGATACTTCTTCATTAGAATTTCTCCCTTTTTGATACTCGTCGTGTTGAATCTGAATATCAACCTTTTATTGAAATAATATATCAAGAGCTTCTTGCCCAGTAAGTACTCCTCCTTAATGTAATTGGGTTTTTTTCGCGTGTCAATGTTTGCTTAATGCCTCATTTGCTTTTCGAAATGTACGAATCTCTACATTCAAAAGTGTATTCTCATGAGCTAATCTCTCTGTATTTTTAGCTAGAGCTAGTATAGTCTCAAATATAGGTATAGGGGAGCTTGATTGATGTCAGGTTATTCGAGATTTCACTAAAATTGATTGAGAAAGAGCTTCAGTTGGGTTGTGAGGGGTTTGAGAGATCCATTGATCTAGATCGAAAGAGGGAGGGGTAGGTGTACGAATTCGAATACCTAACTTCGAAAGTACGGCTTCAGGGTTAAATGGTATTAAACCTGTTCCTCAAAACCCTGATTTCATATTCTGAGAGATGATTGATTCTTTATATGCAGCTTTAAAAGCTATAAAGAATTCAACCTTCGAAATATGATTGATATGTGCCTTGATAAATCCATCAATTTGACCACCATATGAACGTTTCAGATTGCTAAAACAGCTCACATCAAGTGGTTGAATTAAATGATTTGAATGTGATGGTAGACTTAAGCATATAATATCGTTCTCTTTGCAATATGCTTGAAAAGCTCTTGATTCATGGCTTTCATGCCCGTCTAATACCAACATTCGATACCTGCCCTTTCTTCGGTTCTTAATGTGCTTATCGAAGTGTTTCAATCATTCTAAACCTGTCTCATTGTTTGTCCATCCATTAGATGTAGGTTTAATAGCCCAATCCACAGGAAAATCGGTTTCGGTATACCAATTGGAAAGATGAACCTGTCCTTGAACCACTAGAAATGGGGGTATAGTTTCACCCTCCTTATTGCCACATATGATTGCTGTAGCCCATTCTCTATTGCCTGGTTGTATTGCCTTGCTTCTGCCATTCCGTTCAGTGCTAGTTACTACCATTCCGGGGTATATTATACTTATCATAAAGCCTGTCTCATCGAAATTGTAGAAATCGCCATCCAAAATGCTGTATTTCGCTCGCATATTTGCAATCAATCGAAACCACTCTTCAATAAGCTTAGGATCTTCGCAAAGAGCTCTTTGAAAGTCATAAACACGACTAAAACGTGTCTTTAATTCGATTCAACGCTTTACGAATTGATGCGCCCAGAGCTTCCCAACGCGCTTTGCACCCCTCGATTCAAGAATATGATTCGCCATATCTTCTACATTTCTTAATTTAGGTGGAAATCCTCTCAAATCCATATCAATTATATATTCAGAAATGATATTCTCTTCTAGTTTTGAAAGATTATAAGATTTAGGTCGATATTCGGAACGGGAAGTAATACCATTAATTCTACGCTGTAGTGTTGTATTCGAGATATTATATATCTTTGCAACCTTTCGAATACTTGTTTTTTTGTCTTTTTGAATAGCTTCGATAGCGAGGAGTATACGGGCTTCTTGATTATTCGAATCCATTGTGGATTGTTGATAAAAACGCGCATTGAAAGAGAATAGAGTGAATTGAGGTGAAAATGACCCGCACACTGATATGACCCGCACACTGATAAATCACGTTATATAATATAATTCATTAGTATATAGGTCATATTACCTTATGAGTTATTTTATTTTACATATAAAATTCGTCTATACATAACTATATACTTCTTTATTAGCTTATGAAATTCTATAGAAAATTTAATATATAAATTTAAATTATATTAGTATTATAAAAATCTATTTTTTTTTTTCAAAAGTTTCAAATATTATTAAAGTTATTAAAGAAAAAGAGTTTTTATAATATAAAATATAATAATCTCAAATTCAAACAAATCATTTAAAAAAGTCTAAATATTATAAAGATTTCATTTTTATTATGATTTTTTCTTCAAAAATAATAGTTAATTATTAAAGTATAAATATTAAGAAAAGTTTGGTTTTGATGTATTTTTAAAGTAGTTTATATGATGATATAGTTATATACTAATGAATTATGTTTTATATGTATATAATATGTATGTAATATGTAATATGAGAGAATTAGATTGAGTTCGAAATGAAGTATAATGTCGATGTCTTATTATAAGGTTAAGCAAAAAAAAAAGAGCGGAAATTAGTTTTTGAATTGCGAATTCGTTGGATTGTTGAGGTGGTTTAGAATGAATGAGGGTAGCTGAGTTTGAAAAGATTAAATAATAGTCTTGGTAACTATTGTTTGTATTAATAATTAGGAATATATATGATTAATATTATATAGAAAAGGTTTCTAGATTATTATATTTTAAAGCGTAGCGAAAGAAGCTCATGCGTCGGATTTTATAGAACTTTTATATGATTTAATATTGATTTTATATATTTTATCTTTCAAGATTCAGAGATTCAATTATATATATAATTATACAATTTGATTGATAAGCTTAATTATATAAAGAATTGAAAGAAAAAAAAAGAAGAAGAAAGAAAAGGGTAAGAAAACGTGAGAAAACGAACGAAACATTAACGAGGCTCCTCGCCCCTCATAGTTCTTAGAAACGATGGTCAATTCCCGCCTGCTAGAGGATGCATATCGGAGGTCTATATATCACGTGACTGTTCGTCACATTCATCGGCTAGCTAAGCAGTTTAGCTCCAGTTTATGAGAGAGTGATAAGAGTTCCTTATTTCGTCTTGACTCTTCCTGAATTGGGTTAGCAATTGCTTCCTGATATTCTCTGATTTGCAATCGTGACATTAGATTAAATAGACAGCTACTGGACACTCTTACACTGGGGTCTAACGGACATCAATCCCAAATCGATAAGTCTCCGTGTTTGTTGCACATCTCAAAAACAAGATTATCGATTTCAGTCCGAGACCAGGGATATTCATAAAAGCTTGATATAAATACCCTTTTAACAATATCTTTCTAACGCTTTTAGAACTGAACAATAGGGCATGCATATTTGGAGACATGCAACAATTCCTCGTCTTGATACGATCTGACCAATCTTATCATATGATTCTATTGAAAAGGCTTGGGATAAGATATAAACAGTCTTAAGAACGAGGTCACGCCGTACGATTATCATGATTGTGGGTGTCTTCTCTCCCGTCATTTACGAGAAGAGGCGTAAAGAGAATGGTGATACAACATAGCCTTGGATGACATCCAATCAATTGGAAACACAGCCAAGTATCTAAATAATGCCCTCTTCTTACGACATGCAACAAAACCATCACGTACTGACACAAATCACCTGTCAGTAAACACATCTCAAGCGCTCAATGGTCATGTTTCTCACGTGTGCTGACATTAATTGACTGGGTATGTTAGAGGTCGTTGGTGGGTGGCTCAAGAGTGGAGGGGCAACATTCATTACTCTTTAAGGTTATTTATATTGGATCTCATAGAGTCGCAGTCAATCTCAGCCACCAGATCACCAACAAACTTTTTGCTGAACACGAACAATCACTTGACTTATCTCGTTTTTCTCGTTTGTTCAATTCATTGACTTTCGGTTTAGATGGCTATGTCTTGATTGTTTTGTGATATTTGATCTGTTGGTTTTTCTTCTAGTCTTTCGTTCTTTATTCTGGATCTATTTTGATATGACTTCGCCGAGCTTACATGTCAAGTAGTCTTTGCAGTGCAATTAGCTAGCTGGGCTGAATTTTTTACCTAAATTTAGTATCCAGTGCGAGAGTTCTTGGCTACAAAAGAAGCTTCTAAGTTTACTCATCCTCAGCTTGAGAAGAAACGTAATTCTTGTTCATCTTATCTAAGTTCTATTTCGAACTCGTCAGTGCCTTTACTAGAAGTAATTTCGAGTTCCATTTTTCAATCCTTCATTCTTTCTTCCTTAATTTTTGGTTCTGTAATATTCTCATTGCAACCATTATTGTTTCACGCCCTCTTAAATTCTTTCACAATCCCAAATTCAGGATTGATACATGTCGAAAGTTACCAAAATGGCAGACTTTAATTTCCCCGGAGTCGATCTTAGTGATCCTTTTCTTCCATCTCCCGGTTCAATATCTGTTTATAGTCCCTTCGAATATAGTCCTCCTAAAGTCGCCGTCAAACCACCTCATGACTACGGTACATTTATCTATCCTCTCACACCTGTGGATGAAAGACCTGGTCTCATCTCATTGCCTTTAAGATCTCGAAATTGTTCTTCAAATGCACCTCCGTCTCTTTCGTTCTCTCGTTCTTCTAGCACATCGTCTAGATTTTCCTCTTCCTCGTCTGCATCAAGTATCAACTGTGATCGGTTATCAAATACCAAGTGGGCACCCCCTACTTCTTTTCCTCACTTTGTATCATTGCCATTGGATATTCAGAGAACGATTTGGAGACATACATTACCCGAATCTCAAATTATCGAAATACATCAATACACCAAATCCACACCACGATCATCCTCTTCCTTCTCAACTACAACGCAACAAGATAAAGAACCCCTTCCATCTTTAACAACTCATAATTCCCTTCCGATCGCCCTACATATAAACCGCCTTTCTCGTCGCCTTGCTCTCTCTATCTTGACTCCCCTCTCCTTCGCTCACCCTTACTACCTCCCTTCGAATCCATACGCTTACATAAACTATGTTCAAGATACCATATTCATCTCTTCTCAAATGCTCTACTCCGATCTCGGAAACCATATCTTGTATTCGAGGGACTTACATATGATTCGATACTTGGCCCTACAGTTTGAAGTATGGTGTGAGTTACTTGGCGATAATCATTTTGTTAATGCACTTTTGGAGATGGAGGGACTGGTGAGCATTGAGATTATTTTTGAGAGACGACCGGGATCAATTTCTTCATGTTCTAGTCTTTCATCAAATAACGAATCATCAATGTTATCAAGACAGCTCGAAGAATCGATGATGAATTGGGGAATTACACATCAAGCTCAAGATCTTAGCTTCGTAGAACCAACAAGAAACGAAGAAAGAAACTTGAAAGTTATATTCGAAAGGGAATGCGAAAAGAAGTGGTTGTGGGGAAGAGTGAGTGGATGGGAGGATGTCAGTGGAAAATTGAGGCTCAGATGGAAAGAAGAAGAGAGTAGAAGCATGATGCAGAGTCGCATTCACAGAGACACAAACGATTATGAAAACGAATCTTATACACCTCTACCATCCAGGTCTAGATTAAAGGATAATACCTCAATCGGATTTACCGAAATCAACTCTGCGATGACATATACAGAAGGTGAATGTGAGAAATTAGACCAGGGATTGGAAAGTCTAATGAATAGCGTGGATGATGTTATAATGGATTACGGATATGTAACTCAAGGACAAGGAAGATGGGCTGGTGGCAAGGACACATATGCGGATCGAGAAGATGCATATAGTGAGAGTAATTATTCGCAATGTTCGGAGAGTTTTGAAGATGATTCTGATTTGGAGGGGTGGATTTAATGATTTCTTTTTTCTTCTTGCTGCATTTGGGAGTTTGAGTGTGAGGGGAGGGAGAAGGAGATTCAGAGACGGAGGGAAGGGGAAGGTTGAGTGGGCTACTATTGTTGCTCAATATAGTGTAAAGGCGTTGGTTTTGGATATGATACCATAGTTTGGGACAATTTGATTGGTGGGCTTTAGGGAATGAGAGACACTTGAATAACATTCCATTTATTTAGTGTTGAGCCTCGGAGTTCTTTCTACATTTTCATTTATACTATTATTACATATCACCATTCTTTAAGGACGATGTCATTTTACATTGGAGTTGAGATTTTCGTTTTCTTACTTCTTGTGACTGGTGAAGATGATTCGTTAATACTGCGAGGTAATTGACTTATCTAGGTATGCATTCCATATCTGTCGAGCCGGATTAGTGCTTCCTTGAATCAGATATTTGACAGGGTGAAAGACGCGTGACTAGGAATCGTATCTAGTAGAAAGATCTGTTATTCTATAAGTCGAGAGATTAATACACTTCTAATTAGACACTTTGGGAAGATGAAGAGATGAATAATTGAGAGGAAGTAATTTCATAGGTGATGTGCAAATTCAGATAATGTCCGGCTCTATGATGTATGCTTTTGGAAATTTTAATAAGTGGTATTTAAGTTTGAGATGGTATTCGGACATGTTTTAATCCGGATGGATGGAGGGGAGATGGAGAGATATAGAGAGGAGATCGAGGGGAGGTTACTCAGATACAGTACTAGGGCACAGATAATGACCGCTTGTCTCAATCATACTAAAAAATAGCGATTTAATATATATTATATAACGTGGTTCATTAGCATATAAGTCATATCACTATGTGAGCCACTGCGAAAATATACTAAAATCAAGGTTTTCTTGATGTTTATATTTTAATAATTAATTTTTTTATTAATTTTTTTAATAAAAAATCATAATAAAAAATGAAATATTTATAATATTCAGGGGTTTTTTCTAAATAATTCATTTTAACTCGAAATTATTATACTTTGTATTATAAAAACTCTTTTTCTTTAATAACTTTAATAATGATTAGAATTTTAAAAAAGAATTAGATTTTTGAAATATTTGAAAAATTCTATTAGTTAATGAGGAAAGTATATGATTATATATAAACGAATTTTATATATAAAATGAAGTAATTTATATAGTAATATAGTCTACATGCTAATGAACTACATTAATGATTTATTAATATTTATAATTGTATTTTTCAATTGAAATTTTCTAAATGAATTATTTATATAATAAAGATTTATATTTTTTAATTCTTTAATTTTAATATAAATTATAAATTATAAAATTGAAATCTTATAATTCAAATAAAATCTTATAAAAGTTCTTCAAATTTCGCTTGTTTTACTAATAAATTCTAGAATTCTCAAAGTACTATATTTCAAAACTATATAATACAATCAATAAAATTCCTAAAAATAAATTGTTCATTTTTTTAAAATTTATAATATAGTTTATTAGTACGTATACTATATTAGTATATATACTACTTTAAAAATAACGTAGTTTATTAGTGGGTCGGTTATATTAATAAATCAGCCACTTTGTTACGGGAGCTGCCTCTAGGGTCACGTGGAAGTGTCTAGAGATCTCTCGAGGTGGTTTAGACTAGACTTCAAGTAGGAATTCAATAAGGTTGTAACTGGTTGCAATTCTCGTAACTATAGTATGAAACTAATGATTGATCTTGAGCACGAAGCTCTACATTGTAATGAAATCTGTTCTCTTATATAGACCTTCCTGCTCTGCAGAACCTACAGTTCTGTCTTGTCTGGATCCTCTGGATCCTATGGATCTAGATGTTTATTCTTCGATCCCCTAGATCCTCTAGGTCCATCACGTGACTTCCTGACCATGTGACGCGGTATATTGGATGCCGTCGTAACACACTTTTATTTCGAATTGTTATTTTAAAGCTATATTATTCAATAATAACTAAATTAATTAATTAAAACTATTAAGAATCTAATAATTTAGAATCTATTATATTATTTTAATAGATTCTTGTATTATAATCTATCTTTTTGTATTTACTATAATATCAATTAGAAGATACTTACTCATTAGAATTTCCTTCTTTTTAATATTTATTATATTAAATCTAAATATTAATCTTTTATTGAGATAATATATTAAAAGCTTTTTATTCAATAAATACTTCTTTTTAATATAATTAGATTTTTTTCGTATATTAATGTTTACTTAATACTTCATTTATTATTCAAAATGTATAATTCTTTATATTTAAAAATATATTTTTATAAACTAATCTTTTGTATTTTTAATTAAAGTTAATATAATCTCAAATATAAATATAAAAAAGCTTGTTTGATAATAAGTTATTCGAGATTTAATTAATATTAATTAAAAAAGAGCTTCAATTAGGTTATAAAGGATTTAAAAGATTTATTAATTTAGATCAAAAAAGAAAAGAGTAGATATACAAATTCGAATATCTAATTTCGAGAATATAGCTTTAGAATTGAATAGAATTAAACCTATTCCTTAGAATTCTGATTTTATATTCTAAAAGGTAATTGATTTCTTATATATAATTTTAAAAGCTATAAAGAATTCAATTTTTAAAATATAATTAATATATACTTTAATAAATTTATCAATTTGATTATTATATCAACATTTTAAATTATTAAAATAGTCAATATTAAATGATTAAATTAAATAACTTAAATATAATAATAAATATAAATATATAATATTATTCTCTTTATAATATACTTGAAAAACTATTGATTTATAGCCTTCATATTCATCCAGCATTAATATTCAATATTTGCCCTTTCTTCAATTCTTAATATACTTATGAAAGTATTTTAATCATTTTAAACCTATTTCATTATTTATTCATCTATTAAATATAGATTTAATAGCTTATTTTATAGAAAGATTAATTTCAATATATCAATTAAAAAAATGAACCTGTCTCTAAACCATTAAAAATAAGGAAATAGTTTTACTCTTTTTATTTCTATATATTATTATTATAATCCATTCTTAATTACCTAACTATATAAATTTACTTCTATTATATCTTTTAATACTAATAATAATCATTATTGTACATATAATTTTCATTATAAAGCCTATTTCATTGAAATTATAGAAATCTCTATTCAAAATGTTGTATTTCGTTTATATATTTATAATTAATCGAAATCACTTTTAATAAGTTTAGGATCCTTGTAGAAAACTCTTTAAAAGTTATAAATATAATTAAAACACATCTTTAATTTAATTCGATGTTTTACGAATTAATATATCCAAAGCTTTTTAATATATTTTATATTCTTCAATTTGAGAATATAATTCACTATATCTTTTATATTCTTAAATTTAAATAAAAAATCTTTTAAATCCATATTAAGAATATATTGAATAAATATCTTCTCTTTTAATTCAATCAAATTATAACTTTTTAATCGATTTTCAATTATATTAAATTTACCTCGAATTTTATTACCCAATATAGTTCAAAATGTATAATAAAATTAAACTGCCTTTCAAATTAATAATTTTTTATCTAATTCAATAGCTTGAATAACTAAGATTATGTATACTTCTTTAAAATGAATTTTCATAATTAATTATAAAGAAAACATATATTGAATATAGAATAATAATTCGAGGTAAAAGTGATCAATCCACTGATATAGCCGACCCACTAATAAACTACGTTATATCAAAATCAAGCTTTTCTTAATACTTATATTTTAATAATTAATCATTAATTTTTTAAATAAAAAAAGAATATTTGATAATCATAAAAAATTAAATATTGAATATTATAAATTTAATTTTTATTTAGATATTCTCATTACATGTTAAAAAAAGTCTAAATTATTATGATTTTCATTATAAAAAAATTCTTTTTATAATAACTACTATAATAATTCAAATTTTCAATTTATTATTAGAAATTTATAGTATATATATATATTTAAATATTATATATTCAATTTTCAATTTTCAGAAAATTCTATTCATAATAAAGAAAGTATATAGTTATATATAAACGAATTTTATATATAAAAAGAGTAGTACATGTACTAATATAATGTATATACTGGTAAATCATATTAACTAAAACTCAATAGAATTCTATAAATATATATAACCAATTCAGATATAATTATATTTAAATTCATTTATCTTAAGGATGAATTTTGATGTGATTTAGGCGATCGGTCATTATCTGTGCTCAGTGACTGTAGGTATTCGTCCCGATGATTCGGTAACCTATCGGGGAACGTGGAAGTGGAAGTGGAGAAGTTTAGACGGATTTACTCTTTAATTATTACGACCTCGGAATCGATAGGAAAAGATGATATTTTTAATATGGGAAATGTAGTTGACTGGTGAATTGATCGGATTATAGATTGAATGTTGTTACTTTTCATTAGTCCAGTAAAAGAATACTTTAACTCAAGTTATCTCATTCATTTACAAAATGCTGGCCGCTTATGATTACCTCGGAAGTGTCTTCCCTGTTTAATTTTCTTTTCCAACAATCCCAATAATATGTGCGTGATAGACAAAACAGGCAGGTGAATATAAAGTGGCTTGATATGTATATTTCCTACAATCCCCATTTCTGTAACCTTTACTCTCCTCTTCTCTTTCCAAATCTTCCACGAACTCGTCAATACCAACCAAAATGCTCATCCCAACCACCTCCGGAACCGCGGAATATAACGTTCCCGGTCTCCCCTCCCCTTGCAAAACCTGGTATAAAATCCACGGCTCCCTCTCATCCTCCACTCCACCCCTTATCATTCTCCACGGCGGCCCCGGCGCAACCCACGAGTACCTCTTCCCTCTTCTCGATCTCGCCCCCTCCACCCCCCTCATCTTCTACGACCAAATCGGAAATGGACTCTCCACGCACCTCCCCTCCAAAGCCGGCGATGAAGTATTCTGGAGCATCGATCTCTTCATCCACGAGCTCGACAATCTCATTCTCCATCTCAACCTACAAGATCGCGCGATCGATATCCTCGGACATCCCTGGGGCGGTATGCTCGCTGCGGAATGGACCATCAAATCCTCCCACGCGTCGCATCTTCGTCGATTGATCCTCTCAAACACGCTAGCGAGTATCGAAACCTTCCAGCGTGGGATTTCGGTGCTCAAAAAAAAGCTCCCCGGAGATGTGCAAAAGGTTCTCGATGATGCGGATGAAACGCAGGAGTATGAGACCCCGGAATATGATGCTGCAGTTGATATCTTTTCGCAGAGACATTTGAGTCTAGCGAGACCTTGGCCGCCGAAGGAAATGAAAGCGGTGCAGAAGTGGATTGCGGAGGATCCGACGGTTTATGGGACCATGTATGATTTTCCCATTTATTTCTTTATCTTGTTCTCTATTCTCCCCTTCTGCGAAAAATTTGAAGCTAATTGAAAGAAGGCTGGGTCCAAGCGACCTTGTCATTTTGGGTAATCTGCGTGATTGGACGTGTATTCCAAATATACATAAAATTAAAGTACCAACGCTTGTGATAAATGGTGTAGAGGACGAAGCACAGGATGTGACGATGAGACCATTTTTTGAGCATATTGAGAAGGTCAAGTGGATTGTTATGGATGGGGCGGCGCATTTGTCTCATGTTGATCAGAGGGAGAAGTACATGGGACATGTGAGGGATTTCTTGAGTAATGTTTGATGGAGTAATGATGATGATTGAGAAGTTGATGTGGGATACTAGGTTGAATGGGGGGGGATTGGGTTACGATTTTGTTTCGATCGATATGCAGTGTCTGTTCATATAAGTACTGTGACTATTTCTCCATACATCACCGTCAAATAAATGCCAAAGAAACTAATCCAACGCTTTTTTATTACTAGAGATTCATATCCCAACGTTCAATTTTCACTATTTCTTAGATGTACTTCTGCAACACCCACTGATACCGAGAAAATACACTTTTCATGAATTATGCTCAAGTCTCTACGATAACGTAACGGCTAACGAAACAATCACTATAACTCGGGAAATTCATTTCCTATTTTCTACCCATAAAAAGCAACGAATTTTACTGGCAAAAATCTCAATTTCAGACTTCACCATAGGCTAATAACACAGTTACTATATCAGATCACTTATCTATCACTATAAATCCTTAGCATCCTCGTGAGAACTATAGATAAGAAGTCGTTGGTTGGTTGCATGTTTGAATACAGAGTCTCCCCGTGGCACAGCACCAATTTTCTCGAAGATAGATACCGGCATTCTATTTCGCTATCTCCACTACAGACTCGAAGTATTGTATATATACACAAAATGGATATTCAAGATCAACAATCCCTCCCTAGAGAAACAACCAAACAACCAAACGAGAAATCGAAACTCTCATTCATGAAATCGATAGGATCCCCCTCACAGCGTAACTCCTATCATTCACAGGCGTAGCAGCACAACTTGCGCGTTTTGGAACTACGGTGACATGGCGTGAGTAATCACTCTCTCCCAAAAAGCTCGCCTCACGCACTTACGAACACAGAAAACTATCTTCAGAGTCCCCCTTCGCGGGAACAAAAAAAAAACCCTGGCGCCTTGAACCTGGGCGAATCTCAAAAAACATTATAAAATGCGTTTCTGTTCTTCTAGTATCTCACTCCCATGTCGTTTACATTGCTCTTAGATGCGTGGCTCGGTCGATACTAAACTATGCTCCTCAGTTTCACGTGAGTTTTGGTATCTTCTACTTTTTTGACAACCGCTTGCTAAAGTGATGCTTTATGAATAGACTTATATTCATGGGATATACAGTATTACAACTTATTTGTGACTGCATTGCCGAGCTCGCTAGAGCACGGAGTGGGTCTGGGAGATCCGATTACGACTATGGTTTTTACGGGCTTGGGATGAGGGGGTTATCTGTGGTTGTGTATCCTTTTATGCGTAAGCATCTGTATCGCGTTGTTATTTTTGTGGACGTACTTGGATGTCTTGAATAATAACGATATCACGATAAAATAAGTGATGAGATTCCATAAAATCCCCCATCTGTTAAGCGAAACAATGAAGGTGAAATGGTGGTGACGGATCGGAAGTTAGCTATACAGTATGTTTTTAGTGGGTTTTACTGGTACGTAGGTAGATCTGTTAGAGTCATGTAGTTAGTTTCTCTTTCTTTCAGTCTGTCTGACTAATAGTTCGTTCTAGGATGGTTGACATCGTCGCGCTTTCTACCATTCTTACTACTTTTATGGAGAAGTATATTGGGTTTTGGGCTGCATACCTTCTACAAATATGTATCGTGATAGTGACGATTATTCCTTTCATATTCCGGAATAAGCGACTAGGTGAATTTCCAAACTGTGCAAAGTCTATCCCGAAACAACATAGCTGACAGATATCTAGTCAAACTCCCACTCCAAGACAGCATTCTTCCCCAAGCAGATCGCATACTCCTGATCGCCACACTATCGAAATTTCATCTCTCAGCCGCCAATCCCCAATACCAGGCTCAGCCCTACAGCCACCGCACGCCCTAGAACTCAACCTTCATTGATGCAATCAACCGCGGACCAAAAGGTTATCGGGCCATCATCTCTCTTGTGATAATCTGGCTCTGCTACACCAACAACCTCATCTCCCAAGCCGGAGAAATGCAATCTCAAGGAATTTCAAACAATACCATCAACTCACTCAACGCACGCGCAGGCATAATTATGGGTCCTCCCATCCAACACATTCTCTCCCAAGGTTCTTTTCAACAACGCAAAATGGCGCTCGGATCTATTCTACAAATACCAGTGGGATTTCTTTTCACAGCCGCGGGAATAGGCCATGCAGCCGGTCTTCAACAGCTTATCTATTCGCGGGGACTATGCTACCACTAACCCCTCGAGTGCGCAACTGCACGAAACCCACAGAATGTCATGTTTATGTCAAATAACATGTATAATTTAGAAGATAGCACGTACCCTGAAAATAAGACCAACATCCCAATTACCCAAAATAATCCATCTATTTCCCAACCAACTAATCCTCAAACTTTCTTTCAATACCTCTCACAGGATTTTCCACCTATACAAATTTACAAGAGGTACAGAAGAAGAAGAAGTACAGCCGTCAGCTAGAGATGTGGAATACCAAGAGCGCAAAGAGGTGGAAGTAAGTAAGCCGGATACTACACGATTTATTCATTGGTTTAAACATTCGATTAACAAGTAGCTGAGATCAACCAATGGGGTAAATACTGGTGCGCCAAATCATCGAATTGACTCCCTGTTCTAGGGTAATAAGTATTCTTGCACCCTGCAAATCACACAAATGGAAAAATCCATAAACAGTCTGGCAGTCGGTCATCAGTATCATAATATCTATTCGAGATACCTACATATTACATATTTTATCAACCTCATCTACCTATCTACCCATTTATGTAACTCACCGCCACCACCACCACCACCATCCAGTCATCATTTTTCCTTTCCAGATCATTAAAATCATCATATTAACGTCCTCTTTCCACTGTTTCAACTGCTCATAGACACTTCCCCTTCCTCCCCTAACTGCCACTCTATAAACAAAAGACATGTACCCAAACACACCACCCATATATCCATCCGTCCTCATCAACGCGATAAACACACACAAATGCGAAGTATTAACCAATGAAGGAAAATTCCCTTTTTTCTTTCTTGGAAATGAATCCAAACTCCCACACACCATACCATTGTGCAAATACCTCCTGAAGGAAGAAAAAAAATCAACCGGATATCATCTCTGCAAACGTAATCTTTCTGATCATGAACAAAAAGTGTGCATCCCCCCCTTCCGCTCAGCTCACCCCATAATTATGCACAAATAACGCTTAATGTCGTATGTCCCCTTGAAGCGCTCACACCCTCACCATCCCATATTTAATCGACCTCCGCCACCAACATTTCAATTGAAAGATCCATAACTCTTAAAATCATACCCGTTCGTAATCCTGTCCTTTCCCTTTTTAACGATTTCTTTCCCCGCACTTCTCGAATTCTTTGCATTTCCATTCGTCCTGCCAAGCACTGCACCCCCTTTTCCGTTGTCTTTTTGTGCCCCACCATTAACCGAGATTTGCGATCCCTGCGGTAAAGTATTTTGACTAGCACTCATTCCGTATTGGTTAACCTGCGCCATTAATGATTTTCTCGCTTCTTCCATTGCTTCATCCGAACTATTGTCAGAATCTGAATCTGAATCACTACCAGCATCTTTAATTCTCTTAGCTACAGCGGCGGCAATGGCTGCTGAGGCAACCAAACCATTACTTTGAGTTAAAGAAGGAATTTTTGAGCTTGCTGGAACTGGAACATCATCGTCGTCAGAACTATCATCACTACTACTCTCATCATCGTCCTCCGATTCTGAGAAATCTTTGTTCAATAATTGAGATGAAAGTTGTAATTTTGATTTGGCGAGTTGACCATTTGGCAAAGGTCTAGGTTTGAACATGGTTTCTTTCTGACTATTCAGAGATGATAAACTTGCGCCGAAACCAATCGTTGGTCTAATGATCGGTCGCTTGAGGGGTGAAGAGAATGATGGACCTTGAGCTTCGAAGATGTCAGATGTTAGTTGTTGATCAACTTCGTCTTGGGTATTATCCTCATCGCTGCTGGAGTTCTTACGTTGATTTGTGGTCTCAAAAGGAGAGACCATATTTCTCCGGGCATGGCTTGGCAAATCCGGGCTTAGCCGTTGAGTTGGAGCATCTGGCATCTTCACATCCTCATCATCACTACCATCTTCACCTTCATCTTCTGAACTGTCTTGGGTCTCTTTAATTTCTGTTTTAACCTTAGGATCATTTCCCTTGTCCGAAGCGTCGTCTCCAGAATCTTCTTCATTAGATGACTCATCCTCTGATGAAGAAGCTGAACTCTGAGTGTGCTTGTTGAGGGATTTACGCTCATCGCCGGATGGCGCATTGGAATGGAAGACGACTGGAGATCGACTATCCCGTGGTGATGATTGATCCTCACCCATTCCAACATCCTCATCTGATTGGTCGTTGGGATTATTTGATTCTTCGATTTGTCGATTTGGAGGACTAATGGATCTCTTTGGCTCTTGCTTGATTATGACCTCTTCTGCAAAATCAGAATCTTCAGAACTGGAACTGTCTGAACTTGGAGGGAGTGGAATCTCAGTAGCAGGCTTAGGTGGCGACATTGGTTTCTCTAGGATGATATTAGTTTGTACTCATCAATCAACGATTCATCTGTATCCTTGTTTGACAGAGGAATAATATCATGAGGCTATTCCAATGACTTTAGGCGTAATATTTACATACCTTTGACAGGGATTGGACGGCCGGGTGTAGATGCCGTTACTTTTTTTGGTTCCGGTGTAATGGTCTTTCTTTCCAGGGGTTTCTTCTCGGTAGAAATGTCTTTGGGTGCCGGTTGAGGGATAGGCTTGGGTGTTGCAGATCGTGCCACCGAACTTGCCCGACCCGCTATCAATGGCGGTTGACTCATAGCAGATGGTTTTAGCGATGGCTGTCTGACTGGAGTCGCACCACGATCAGGTCCAGGGCGCTTGAATGTTCTGGGTAGAGGAATAGGTGTTTGATTTGGGCCTGAAGTCTGATTAGAAGCAAGCGTGGGTGTTGTTTTCTCTTTTAGCGTACCGACTGAAGCTGTGTTCTTGAGCTGTGGCTTTACAGGAGTGTTCGCCTTATCAAGGTCAAAGGAGACTCGCCTAGGACTCTTGGACGGTAATGGCATCTGAGCTTCCAGACTGGTGTCCTTAGGAGCTGGGGCTCCAGGTGAAGAACTTAATACACTTTCGGAAGAACGTGATGTTTTCAAAGATGACTTCTTTCCTCTTGGATAATGAGGCGTGGAAGACTGGCGTGGGAGGATCACGCTGGGAGTACTGCGTTTATAGACCGGGGTCCCTTTCCTGCTTCCTTGTGGAGTTTCGGATGCTCTCTTAGAGCCTTCAAGAGCTTCTGACTTTCTAGACTCTTCCTCAGCCTTTTTCGTTGCCTCCTCTTCGGCCTTCTGCTTCTCTATTCTGTCATCTTCTTCGATCTGTTTGCGCAGTTTCTCTTTCTCATCCTTCAGCCTCTGAGCTAAGAGAGCAGCTTCCTCTTTTTGCTTTCTTGTGGCTTGCTTCTGCTTCTCCTCTGCCTTGAGTTCCTCTGATTTCTCTTTACGCATTCGCTCGGCCTTTGCAGCCACGGCTTCTCTTTCGGATCCACGTCGACGTTCCTCGGCAGCTTTTGCCGCCGCAGTCCGCGCCTCTTTTGCTGCCTCCTCACTTTTTTTCTTCTGACGCAATTCCTCATCGCGTATTCTACTCTTTGGCGTCAAGGGCAGCTCATGAGGAGTTGAAACAGATTCAAAGGTCTTGGAAGGATGACGATTTTGGTTCGAGGGTGAGTTCGCTAACCTCTCAAGACCGGGTAATCCTGCCGATGAGGATTTTTTGAGTTTAAGTTTTGATTGCGGAACCTTTATCTCTTCAGAATCCGAGCCAAAGTCATCATAGATATCCCCCTCGTTTCTAGGCGATCGACTCTTCGATTTGCTTGATTTCGCGGCTGGCAGAATTGTTCCCGAAGTCTTTGTTTTCTTCATGGAACTTGAGTTAGGATGGGGAGGAAGTTGAGGTTCATTTGCCATTGGACTTGTCGCAGTCGTCGAAACGGACCGACCCCTATCGGTCGCTCTCTGAATGTGATAGCTTGCACTTTTTGCTCCTGTAATGTCCTTTGGTGTGCCCTGCTTCCGTGGCGGGGGTTCTTTGATTGGACTTACAACTTCTTTCGGGTCGCTGTTGGGTTGCGCAGTGGTATTCTTGGTAGACAACTTAGTGATATAATTAGTTATGGCATGACTTTGGTGGACAAAACGTCTCTTCACTAGCGATGGAGATGACGGGGGTGGGATGTCGGAGATCATGGGAGAATCCTCTCTTACGTTTGGCACAAAATCATTGTCCTCGTCCTCATGACCCAATATCGCACTCTGTTGCGAATCGGGAATTGTGGCTTCTGGGTTCTCTGGGATACCTTCCAACCTTCCACTAGTATATGAATCTACTTCTCGAGAAGGAATTGGTTTGTCTGGATCTATGGCCGTTCTCTGGCGTTTTTGTGGATTCCAAAATGATTCGGCAGCTCCATTTATAGGTGACCTATCTCTCTTCTGACCAAGAACACTTATTGGGTTGAAACGAAGAGCTGACGTTGGAGGAAGTGAGTCTCGAACATTTGGTTTATTAGGAGCTTTTATGATTCGAATCGTAGACATATTGGTAAATAGAGGTCCTATCAGATCGTTCTGAGTAACGTCAAATAATTCATCGTCCATACACTTTTTAATCGCAAGTGGTCTAAATGAAGAACCAATCAGTAAGTACAAACTTCCACTTTTCAACCCAGACATTCTCAAATCATGTTCGCAGAAGCGCAAACACTACTTACTGGCCATAGTTGATTTCGTGAACTCTTGAAGCTTCTGTGCAAAACTCTCTGATGGTAATATTCGGTGAAGTAATAACACGAAAGCAACGGATTGGACGATCATTCTCCTCTGCCGCATCTGGTGTGAATACTTTGACTCTAAGTGAAAAGCCGGGAGAGGCGGGGGGATCAAGCAAGGAATTCATCGTGAATTCTTTTATGATGCCTTCAAGAAGTTAAGCTTATGCGAAACAGCAGAAGTGTGCTGATATGCAAAGAAGAGAGACAAGGCCAAAAATCAACGGCATTGAGTAGAATGAAGAAGTGCAATTGGTTCGGCGCACTATTGAAAGCTAATTGCTTTTGCTTTTTCAATAGTGGAGCACTTTAAAGTCCAAAAAGAAATCGCGCCAAAACGCGTTGAAAGTTGGAAGGTTGAAGCTCTTGGGGAAAAAATCTCGTGGGCGGTGGGCGATAAGAGGTTATCGTGAATAGTCAATCGTGTTTTGGTGGACCTTTTCCGATAAGAGTTGAAGAAGTTGAAGAACGTGAAGAACTTGAAGAACTTCTGAGGAAGAGAAAAAGAGTTTTGATATGGATTGTCTCTTGAAGGAGGTGATGGAAAAGTTTGTGTGTGTGTAATGAAAGATTTGGGAAAGTTTTTGGTAGAATGAGATTCAGCTTCAATGATTGATTCACTTGAGGTTACTTATTATCATATATCTCTTTTCTTTTCTTTTCTTTTCTTTCTTCTCTCGGTTTGCTTTGAATTTTCAAACTTCACTTCATATACTGGGATACCTAGGTAGGCATTTCTTATATACTGAAGTCTGAATGTCTGGAGCTTATCCTTGAGAGCGAGATTTCTTTTTGGTTTCATCCGATAACCCATGTGTCACAGTGCATTGTCTCGAGAGTGTACAGCTCGATAGTGTACAGCTCAAGTATTGCGTTATGTCATGGTTGAATGATTGGGTGGAAGATCAGACTTTGACCTGAGTACGTACTTGGAGAATTGATTGAGTATATCTAACACCTAAGCTATTGTTTTGGAGATGATAACGACGAGATGCTTCATATGCCAGGTCATCAAAAGCCTCTCAATATCATCATGCTGTGCTCTTCTTTGACACATGTCATGGTGCCCAGATATATGTGAGCATTATTTTCGTTTTGACATTCAAACTAATCCCAGCACAAAATATCTCCTCAGTCCTAGATCCAATCTGTCCTCCTTCTTCAAAATGTCGAGTAGCTGTCCAGATCATCTCGATACGAAATTTGCCATATCCAATTCCCAAGATACAAAACCACTAACCCAACTCCTGTCGCGACAACGGCCATTCCCACTAATACCCATTGTCTCAACTTAAAAGCATCCGAAACCTCCATTTTTATCATTTTCTTTTGTTTGGTGTTCCAATGCCATGGCTCCTCTTCCTTCCTCTTGATCCCTCCCGCATTCTGTCCTTGAGATGGTGATTTGATATATGCATATGGTTGTGGTTTGTATATCAATCGGTGAAGGAATTCTTGAATGCGCCCGATAAAAGTATTGGAATATTTCCGGGTTTCCGAGTGTTGGTGAATGCGAAGATAACTATTACGGCTATCGATGATCAAGAGAGATATGAGGAATGAAATGAAGGTAATGGGGGCGATTATGAACTGTTTGTCTGGTTAGAATTTTAATGCTAAATATTGGGATCAGATGAGAATGGCTTACCCTCACTACAGCGCTTTCCTTAGGAGCTTCAAGAAGTATTGGAGAGTGGAGTTTTGGCGGAGGAGATGGTGATAATGCTGATGATCGACGTGTTGGAGATGACATTCTGACTGGTGAATTATATTATTGACTTTGAGGTCTTTCGATAGACCTTTGAAAAATAAATTTTACATTGCTTATAATATTTATTCTTCTTCTAGAGAGTGAAAAGTTTTTGATGGATTTCGTTGTTAATCAAGTCCCCGCCAAGATAAGGTTACGTCGGCACCGCGGAAACATAGCTCAGCCTTGCGAGTGACGTTTTTCTGCGGATTGGATTTTGGTTCATCGTTTCGTAACCTTATTATTGGCACATCGTACTCGGTGCGAAGAAAGCCAATGCGAAACACGTGATGGTACCCTCCTCACTTCTCCTTATCAGATGTGAGGATATTCAGAAAAAAGAGATATTCATATCTACTAGCATCCTACCTCTTTGATACTATTCTAGTCTTAAATCGACCACCCTACTTTCAGGCCACCCCTGTTTTGGGCCATCCTTTTATATTAAAAATCGCTTTTTTAATCTATCAATATCTCTATCAATATAATCTAATTTAATAAAAACTTGAATATATATAATTTAAACTATTTTAAGCTTATTTTGAAATTTTTAGATTTTTAGGATTTTTTTATATTAAGATTCAGATTTTTAAAATATCGATTTTTTAATTTATATAAGAATTATATATAAATTTAAAACTTTTATAAAATCTTTAATAACTTTTTAATAATTATTATTAAAAGAAAACTATATATCTTTTTAAAAGTTTTGAATTTAAATTTATATAAAAATTAAAAAAAAATTAAAAAAAATTAATAGATATAAAGATATAATATATAGTAAATTTAAAATAATATAAATAATCCCTATAATTTTAAGAATATTCTTTTAAATATTTATTTATAGAAAATTTTCTTTTTTTAAATCCTTTAGAATAAATATATTATAAACTTATAATAAAGTTTTATAGTTTATTTTAATAATTTTTATTAAAAAATTATTAAAGATTTTATAAAAGTTTTAAATTTATATATAATTTCTATACAAATTTAAAAATCAATATTTTGAAGTTTTAGATTTCAATATAAAAAAATCCTAAAAATCTAAAAACTTTAAATTAAATTCAACACAATCTGAATTATATATATACAAATTTTCAATAAATTCTATTTATAAATAAAAGAGTTAAAAATTCCATTTTTGGTGTAAAAAGTGGCTCAAAAGGGGGGTGACCCGAAAGTAGGGTACCCGACTTAACATTCAACTGTAACCTTAAACCTCAGCTTGATACAAGAATGAGTATAAGAATAGCTTCTATAATAATATATATAACTCAATATAGGTTATATAACTAATTTCTACAACTTTTTTTTAGCCGATGTGTTTTAAAACTTTCATTTTTCAGTTCAATCTTTTCCTTTTTAAATTAAAAATACTAATAATTCTATAACTATATGTTACGGGAGCTGCCTCTAGGGTCACGTGGAAGTGTCTAGAGATCTCTCGAGGTGGTTTAGACTAGACTTCAAGTAGGAATTCAATAAGGTTGTAACTGGTTGCAATTCTCGTAACTATAGTAATGAAACTAATGATTGTTCTTGAGCACGAAGCTCTACATTGTAATGAAACCCATTCCCTTATATAGACCTTCGTTCTCGTCTGGATAGCTTGGGTAGACTGTCTATCCTGTCTATCCATCACGTGACACTTGCCCCGTGACCTATATGATACTACTGCTTATCTAACCTGTGCTTACTAGATAACCTGTAACCGCTATCCCTCCTGTGCCTACTGTAGGATAGGTGCCAACAAAAGATATGTACCTATCTTTTAATCATTGCTTATTGATTCGGTTACCGCTATCTTTCGTTACCCTTTAATCCAACTGTCCCTACAGTGCTGTTTTCGTAGGTTCCAACACCAAGGCCTTAGGTTTATCTTATAATCCATGTTGCGGTGCGGGTACCTCCGTAACACTATATATTCGAATCTTATAAAATTCGAAATGTATGATTAGATATATTATGAAAACTCGAAGCTTGAAATATAGAAAAGCTAATCTAATGTTACGACGACTATATAAAGCTTAAAGAGATACATGAGTTTAAAGTTTCGAATCTATTCTAAGCTGATATTAGTATATATATATGAATCTATAATATAGGATTTTTAGAGTTTAAAAAGATTAATAAAAAGTTTTTATACTACAACATATTAATTAATTTATTATTTCTTAGAGGTTAACTTCTAGAATAGTAATAATAATATTGGTAATCTAGTATTAGTAGAAGACTTAGTTACTTTAGCTTAAGAAATAAAACGAATATAGTATAAGAGTTAAATTGAAGTCAAATTATAAGAAAGAGCTTGAATAGATCTAATTTTGCTTCCTTTTTTTTAGGTTTCTTTAAAGAATATTCTAGGTTTATATAGTTTATAATAAAATTCTAATAGTTTCTATACTTTTAAATAAGATCGATCTGAATTTAATCTTATAGAATGATTTTATATTATAAAAAGAAAGTACAACTAATTAATTTAATCTAGTTTAATAATAATCTTTTATATGATCTCATTACATTATATTTCATTATGAATCAATTTAATAAGAGATATAATAATCTAAAAATATAATAATATAATAATATACTTTTTTAATATAAAATCATATCGTATATATATTAGTCATCAATATATCTCTTAATTAGTAAAATATTAATAAGTGATTTAGTATACTTGTTATGAAATCTTATATCATTTTACTTACTTTTTATAATTCTTCTTATTTTTTAATTAAAATAATTTATTATTTATTTATTAATAAATTATTATTGAATTTATAATAGTTTTTATGAAACGATTACTTAGAGTAAGGGAAAATTAAAACGCTTATAATATAAATTTATTTTCATTAGAAGATATTAATTAATTCCTTAATAGTATTAATAGTGATAATCAATTAATATAATAATTATAATAAAGTACTAAAGATAATTTAGTGCTAAGTTAATATAAGATATAAAAAAAGAAGTAATAATCATAAAAGAAGTTTATAGAATGGTAATAGAATATAATTTATATATAATTTATCTTAAGGAATTTTAATAATACTATATTCTTATTTAATATAATCTATCGATTTATTATTTTTAATTCAGGAAAACCTTTAAAGCTGTAAAGATTAAATAGGTATTTTAAAGTGTATATTAATGAAGTTAAAGATTCCTTTTACTAGATAGAGGGTATATTTTAAAGTAATAATCAATATTATTTCTCTATTAATAAATAAAAATGGATTATACTATTCAATGTTTCGAAAAGTAGTCTTTATTAATTCGATATCGATATAAAAGCGAAATAAACAACGAAATATTAAACTAATAGAGCTTTAAGAAATATATATATATACAAGTTAAATTATAGATAAAGATAATTATAAAAGGTAAACAGTTTAATAAATAATTTATATAAAATTGATATTAAATTAATTAATAAATCTCTTTATAATATATTTAAAAGATTAAAAGAATATTAAAATCTCTATAATTATTAAAATAGAAAAAGGTATTTCTTACTAGTATACTACTCTGTATTATATATATGATTTCCAATTATAGTAGTAGTAATAATAATAATAAATTCATAATCGATTCAATCTATTCATAGCTAAGCTATACTAACTATGTGATATATTCATATATTTTCAATTATATAAAGTAGATAGGGAAAAATAATAAAAAACTTATTCTCCTTTGAAGCTTGTTCGAGTTTGTTATTATAAAATCTTATTATATTATAGAATCTTTTAATCTTTTTATTTTTCTCTTTATCTCTTTATAACTTTTACGATTTTTTTTTTGTATTTATTTCTATTATCTGCTTTTGTTTTATTTAATTCCTTTTAGTGTATTAGATTTTGTAGTTAATATATCATTATTTTATTATAGGAGTATTTTCATTTTTAGGTTGTCAATCTTTAGTTTCTTCAAATTTTATTTTTAGTGTTAATAATTCTAATTTAAATTTTATATTATAGAATATTCTATTTCTAACTTTCTTCTTTTAATAGTTCAATTAAGAGACTTTGAATTAATTAATAAAAGAATAGAACTTTAATCGAAAGAAGTATAAAAAGGAGGTAGAGAATTATATTATCTATTAGTATTATCGATATATAAACGATCGAATTATATACATCGAATTTCATAATTCCTTCATTTATAATTCCTATAACTATTATTAAAATAACTTGATATATAATAATAATTTTAAAAAGACATTAATTTATGTTAATAATACTCTCTATCAAAACCTTTGATAAGAAACCTCTAACTTTATATTAATATACTATTTATCGGAACGTATAATAACGTACTTAAGCGAATCACATGATTCTTCTCTTCCTTATAAGAAAGATAAAAATCCCACCTTTATATAAATTATCTTAATTATATTTTGTCACGGAAAACTCCGTGCAGCGTGTACTGATCATCAAACTCTTACATTAGTATATTATTAATCTACACTTGATCTAAATAAGCTCCTTCTTCGCTTATTCAGAGTATAAATATAAGATGTAATCCTTATGATCAAACCTCAAGCGATTCTAGTTTATTAAAACTTATTCTTATTATTCTCTATATTCAAAGTGATCAAGTAACGTAGCTATCCTCCGTAATATATTTATTTATTTTATATAGACTTTTATAGTACTTTATCTAGTGATTCGAATTCAGATCCCCCCTCTAAGTAATTCAAACATTATTTATATATAAAGATTATATTATATAAATCTAAGCAGGTGTAATTTAATTATAAACATATGTAACATCATTTCTTAACATTATTAAAAGAGCAAGTTGAAGATTATTATAATAATATTAAGTAATAATCTATTCCTTAATAAAACGAATAGAATTTTGATTCAATATTACTACTATATTAACTACATTATATAATTAAAGAGTCTTAGTAATATAAAAAATATGAGTATATTATATATAATACTATACTAATAGTAAATGTAGAATAAATTTTAGTATGATCGACTAATTTTTTAGTA